ATACTTTCCGCATAGCGTCAAAGACAGTGTGCGGTCGCTGCGCGCGGTCAGCAGCGGGCGGGCGGCGTGAAACGCATAGCGCCTACAAGACTGCACGAATACTTCACGCATTGCGTCAAACACGGTGCGTGCGGCAGCGGTCGGCGTGAAACGCATAACGCATACAAGACTGTACGAATACTTCACGCATTGCGCCAAACACAGTGCGGTCAGCGCGGCGCGGCGGCAGAAGTTAAAATTATTAAACCACATTTATGTTTGTTCTTTCATAATTGTTTCGTTCATTTCATGTAAATGGAAGACCTTGTCCACACAGAGATAGATTCACGGAACTTAACTTTCGCGCCAAGTTCCCCGAACTTTTGCTGGCAGTGTTGACAGGGCTTTCGCTAAAAATGTGTCCAACACGAGTAAACGCGTCTTATGCGCCCCTCCTCCTCAGGCACGTTCATTTGATGGTTTTCATTGATGTTTCGAAACGAATGAGAAGGGGGCGGCAAAATACAGGCGACCCACGGGCGGCAAGTAGGTAAATCCGGCCCTGCGCTGCATCGGTTACCTTTCCTTGGGGCTTCACAGTGGATCGAGCCGATTTGAGGGGCCGGAAATTGAATCTTTAACTAAAACTGCAAAATTTGATGTTTATTTCGACACATTTTAAATTTCAAGTGTGTTTGTTGGCAAAATTTTCACGAGGAAACCAATGAAGCCACTTTTAGAACCAAAATTTTTTGGATAAACGGAGTTGCAAACGTTTAAAGTTCCTAAATTTCGTCCGACCTCTCCTATTATCTCACGCATTGCGTCAAACACGGTGCGGTCAGCGTGAACCGCTGAACGCCTCCAAGACTGCCTGAATACTTCTCGCATTGCGTTAAACACGATGCGTTCAGCAGCGGTCGGCGTGAAATGCACCGCGCCCACAAGACTGCAGGAATACTTCACGCATTGCGCCAAACACAGTGCGGTCAGCGCGGCGCGGCGGTGGAAGTTAAAATAATTAAACCGCATTTATGTTTGTTCTTTCATAATTTTTTCGTTCATTTCTTAAAAATGGAAGGCTTTTTCCACACAGAGATAGGCATACGGAATTTAACTTCCGCGCAAAGTTCCGTGAACTTTTGCTAGTAGTGTTGACAGGGCTTTGCAAAAAAATGTGTCCTACACGAGGTAACGCTTCTTATGCACCCCTCCTCCTCCGGCACGTTCACTTAATGGTTTTTATTGGTGTTTCAAAACGAATGAGAAGGGTTCGGCAAGTAGTGAAATCCAGCCCTGATAATGGAACGCTCTTTCAACTGACAAAAATGCAGAAATCATCGTCTTCGTGGTTTTCTTGTAAAAGTGACTCGGATGAAGCATTGGGTTTCGCTCGTTTTTCTTTTTGTTTACATTTTTAATAACTCGGTAAACTAAAAGATAAACAAAGCGGTGATTGCGAGTGTGTACGCGCGCTGTTGCCGAATCTCATGGAAAACCAGCCTTCATTCGTCTCCACTGAACGAACTATTTCTGAAGTCTTAAGTTTATTTTTTCCTTTTTTTTTAACATTTTCCATTTAACGTCAATTCTTCATGTAAAGAGGCACCTTTGGCATCTAAAACAAACAAAACATTTAAGTGCCACTGAGCCCAAAGCCCGAGCTGTCCCAAGTAACTTCATGAAAAATCTGCACATAGTAGAAAACTAAACAGTGTTCATAATTGCAGTAATCTTAGTGAAAGTACTTAAAATTCTTCAGTGCACGTAAAAAGAATCAACTCAAAGAATGATACAAATGATACCGAAGAAAAACAAATGACTGAAACTGTGTCCAGAAAATCGTAAGTTACAGGATGGTAGAATCATTGTGGACTCAGCACTATTCTACCATCCTGATGATAATATTAAACATCGATTAAAACGACCTCGCTTGGAAACCTGTTGGTTATGTTTTAACTATGCCTACATATTCGATTAGCTCAGGTACTTTTCCTTCTTTCTCCCCCCCCCTTCCTTTTTCTTTATGTATTTATTTTTATTTTTTATTTATTTCATAGTTGCAAGAAAAGGAAACGATGAATATAATTATCTGATTGTATGTGGAAATAAAGTACCAATGGATCAACTATTGACAGCTAGGAAGAACAGTGTCACGCAGTCGATTCAAATCGCGAGACGTTGAATGAAATATGTCATCGCATCGCGAGTCGGAAAATTCCATTTTTATTGCAGTCTGTCTTACGTTCATGAGCGTTCTCACTATGTCGTAAGAAGCATGCTGCCGCACTAAAGAAAAACGCCCTATGAAATTTCGCATGTTGCCAAATTTTCTTCGATAAAGTACTAGTTTTCGAGGAAATATATGACTATTTTTCCTAGAAATTTTTCCTTTATTCCCTTTTTCTTACCCATTTTTACTCCGGGTGAACGGGAGAGGCCTCCCGCCCCCCCCCTCCCTCTTGGATCCGCCCATGCGAACAAGTCGGACCTAGAGCACCTGTATATGAGAGAGTATTGCCATCTCTGTGCCGCGCTCTGATTGGTTCATCAGTTTGAGGCTATCATGGAGCTCCAAAGTAGGAGCAAAACATACCCGACCCAGAGGGACAACGTATTGTAGGCTGAGAAGTGAATGACAATCATACTCGAAGGTTAATTTTTTGTGTAAATATCCATCAAAGTTGGAGTCCAAGCAATTTAGGAGTTGTATATTAAAAAATTTCCATCACATCCTGAATCACGTCTAGAACTTCGTAGAGCTTTGTCGCCATCTTTTTTGTTTACATTGGGCCAAACTAGGAGTGGAGGGGCTGGGGTTTGTTTGCATCGGCCCAACTTTGGGGCTCCATGATAGCTGACCAATCAGAGAGCGGCACACTTTTTCTGAGGTAAGGATCGAGATAACAATACTCTCCTAGAGTACCTGTATACGGAAGATTATCGCTATCTCAATCCTTTTACTACAGAAAAAAATGTGCCGCTCTCTGATTGGTCGGCTATCATGGAGCCCCGAAGTTGGACCGATGTAAACAAACCCCAGCCCCTCCGCTCCTAGTGTGACCCTATGTAAACAAACAAGATGACGGAAAAGTTCTACAAAGTTCTAAACGTGATTTTGGGTGTGATAGAAATTTTTCCTTATCCAACTTCTGAAGTGAGTTCGGATCGAACTTCGATGAATATTTTTGCCGAAAATTATGCTTTGAGTGTGATTATCATTCATTTCTCAGCCAATTGTACGTGTTCCTCTGGGTCGGGTTTTTTATGTTTGCCCAATTTTAGGGCTTATTTTTATCCGTGGAACGCATGGAACGCGATGATAGCGGTTCGGGTTGGTTCAACCAGCCTGAACCAACCTCAACCTACCTTGGAAGAGTGGCCCAAGCGTTCCACTGGAACACATGGAACGCACTGGAACGCGCCAGTGGAACGCGATAAAACCTAATGCGTTCCGTTGCAGTTCACTGTGGTTCGGATAAAAAAAAAACCCATTTGGAGTTCCATGATAACCTAAAACTGATGAACCAATCAGAGTGCGGCACAGAGATGGCAATACTCTCCCACATACAGTCCAGTCGGACCTGGACGGACACGATTCGGAGCACAGTGGTCCGGCTCACTGCTCCGGGGGGCTCAGCTTTTCACCGTGCGAAGAGAGGTGCGGAAGACGGGGCACGGGAACCACCGGTTCCGGCGGGGGGGGGGGGTGCCCCCCTCTCGGATGGCGCTCGCCCGGACTGGACCGTTACCCGTGTAGAATGTGGAGCTGGACTCATTACCAGGAGGAAAACTGACTTGGTTTCGTGTTGGTTGCATCGCGCTGGACTGGCCGTGGCGTTCGCGGTCCTCGATTTCGGGCCGAGTCCCCCGCGAAAACTTTTTTTTCGCTTTCTCCGGCCGCCACCGCGGCCGCTCCGCCGGGTGCCGCGTCACGAATCTCTCAAGTTCGGGCACTCGCCGAGGTATCTCCTCGCGCAGACACCTTCCAGGGCCTCAGTGTCGTGCGGTTCCCTCCGTCCACAGCCAGAACGCCTTTCTGGTTCCCTCGCCATCTCGCCTGCCTTTACACCATACGCTTTCCTTCGAAGCTGTGTCGCGCGTTACCAATACAGAGTAAATCAAGTGAAACTATTCTGCTGTGAAAAAAAAGTCACTGGAGTATTCCGTCGAGAAGATTTCCTGTTAAATCAAGAAGAAAATCCCACGTACTTCTTGATTAATTATATTTTCTTCTTGATTCCAGAAAAATTGAGAATTTGCAGGGGTCGGAACCTTTTCGAATTTCATGGTTGAGGAGAAACTGTTGAGTGCACTGAGCGTGAAAATATCCTTGGTCTCTGAAATGAACATTTATTATAGGAGTTATGACTAAATGGCCCAACATGCAAAAACACATGTTTTTAAATGGGAAAGAACGCCTGATGACGTCAGAAGGCGGCATATTCCTCTCTTTTAAATATATTTTTAATAACTTCTCGTATCAGAAAATTAGTATGGAAAAAATTTCTAACACATCTCACAAGGAACTCTCATATGCAGGAATACTCAACATGTTTTCGTGCAAATTCTCCATTGTCTCTTGGCGGCATATTGCAGGATATCTCTGCTTGAGTCAAGTCAATAGTCCCCAGTGAAAAGAATCCCTAAACCAGTCGGTAAAATCCTAACAACATCCCAATAGCTGAAATATATCAAGTTTTGATAAAAATGCGATTGAAAGTTACTAATGTGTTTTTTCTCCAATTTTAATTGCTCAAGAAAAGGAGGATCCAGAGATTCCTTCTCTCCTCGAGTACCCGAACCGCAGGGGCCTTTCCCTTCGAATTGTTAGAAAGTGTTGTGTACCGTAAACTTAGCAATCGTGGACACTCTCATGAACATCAAGTTCAGTGCAGTAGACAGTTTCTATTTTCAGTTTTCGTCGACTCTCATGAACGTGTTTTCTTTATCTGAAGAGAGATTTATTTACTGATACGCATCCATTTTTGTTTTAAAGTCGCCTGCGTGTGACAGAGACGGATCACGTGTTTTCGATGCGGTGGAGCCGCGGGTGAAGGTATCAGATTATTTGCTCAGCTTTGAGGTTATGTCAAGTCGCTCGGCTCGTTGGTGGGGTCGTTTGACGATCGGAGTGTGATTCCAGTGTCTCGCGGGTCGGGATGAGCCGGATGATGGTGCGGCGGACTCGGTTGTGCGCGGGTCATGGCTTCGAATCCCGCGGTTGAGTCCGGCGAGGAGGGCGCGGGTGGCTCCTCGTCCTCGGACTACGAGGAGGACTGCTACTTCGCCTTCGTCGAGAAATCCGAGACCCCGAGCTTCGACATCGACGACCCGGAGTGGGTGGACGACGACGACGGCGACGCCTTCGAGATCGTCGACGGGGACGTGACGTGCGTCGGTGACGTCATCGACCCGCAGCTCGGGGAGACGTGCCTCGTCGAGGCCGAGTTCTACAACCAGAAGCCTGGTCGCGGGAAGCGGAAACCCGTCAAAGGCGTCAGGGTCAAGTTTCAGGATCTCTCCAAGCCCTACGTCGCCCGCGTCACCAACCAAACCAACTACCACCGCTTCCTTCAGCTAGTCAAAGGTATCCAACTTTCGAGCCCCCCGCCACAGGTGCAGAAAATGCTCCGAGAAAATGTCTTACCTGTTTTTTTTTTCCGAAATTGAGAGGAGAGATAGCGGGCCGATTTGAAATTATAACCTGTGTCACACTATCGAAATACTCCGTCAAAATGTCAAGGTCAAGTGGTATGATTCAGGGTGTGTACAAGTCCGGAATTTCTGGAAAGTCCGGAAATAGTAGGTACTGATTGTTTAAGGGTGGTTCAGAAGGACTGAAAAAGTGCGGAAATTCCGCGAAAAGGTCCGAAATTGTTTTCATTTTTGTCGCAATTTGAGCTAGAAATTGAAATTTTTCGAATTTCGTCAATTGGAGGTACCGAAAAAGAACTGACTTTTTCTGTGAGGAGGTACTGAATTTCTTGGGAATGGACCGAAAAAGTGCTGACGAAGTACTGATTTCTGGTTAGTCTGTTTTCGTAGACACCTTGTATGATAGGTCCAAGTCATCGAATCAGCCAACCACAACACCTGAACTTTATATTTTGATGGCTAGCTTTGTTAGTGTGACACAGGCTAATGTCGGCACGACAAGAATAGACATAGCCGTATCTTAACCACGCAATGTGTCGCATTTCTATGCCTAATCTGGCTGCCTTAAACTTTCAATAATCGGTCCTCTTATTCTTTAAACTTTATTGCCTCCAGATTTACTTATGACATTTTTGCGGAGTGAGAAAATGTTTAGCCTTGGAGTGCGCCCAAAGTTTTTCCCGCAATGAAGTTTTCTACACCTCTGCTGCCCCAAGTCGTCGGCAAACCTAAACCGTTTTTCTGCCCCCCCCCCTCCTAAACAGCAATTGGATTAAATTTTCCAAGAAAGAGCCATTTGTTTTGACTCATTTCAGAAAAAAATGTGTGCGCCATCAGTTTCCCTTTACAGATAGATGCTTTTATGGCTGAGCCAGGAATAGCAATTCCTCATCCCAAAATGAAATGACAGGAACCGTCGCGCCGTATCGTCTAGTTGTTTTTCCTTCCTCCCCCTCCCCCCCCTTCGGATAGGAACTTTTTGCGCTCCTGCCATAATGTGTAGCGGCGAAGCTTAAGTTCTATTGATACAGATACGCTAATGGACAGCGCCAAGCAAAATAATGATATCTTACGTGAGGAATCTCCAGCTCTTTTCATTAATGAGGCCCGCTCACTCTCCGGACGCCAGGACAGATATCCCGAATTTCCCGAAAAATGGAATTAAGGACCGAATGGGTAGAGAGGGAATGCTCGATAATATATGGCACCTGATCATTGCAATGTTGTGTCCTCGTATCTGCAATCTGCATTTGGCGTCTATTTGGTAGACAATGCTCAGACTTTGAGCCTGGGCCTTTGATTAGGTAAAATAATAATTCGGGTCTCCGATAATGATAACTGAAAAAAGCAGTGCGGCGCTTCTTGAATGTAGAAGACGACCAGAATTTTTTTCTTCTCTATTTGTTGTTTTCTGTCAGCCGACTGTATTTTAGTGAGTTAGCAAAATGTTATATGTGGAAGAAGTAAATTCAGCGTTCGTAGCTTACCTTGTTTGCAATACCATATCACTGAGTGAGTTTTATTTTTCTCTTGATCGAAAATCGAATCGTGTACCGAATGTGTCGCGAGACTAGGCCCGGCTCTCTCGCCTTTGGTTAAATCATCTCTTGTCGAAGCAAAACTTGTATCGCTATTTTTGGGAGTTTATGGCTTCCATGATACATTTTATGGCATTTTCGGTTCTCATAGGAAACTTTGAAAAGAGTCTTAACCTCCGGCTAAAATTTAACTCTCTGAGTGCCCGACAAATCGTAACAAGAAAATAAATCCGTAACAATTATGAGGTGATAGAATCTGGCGTAATGGAACCATTCCCACCTAGCTTGATGATTTGTTTTAAAACGGGTCTTTACATCAGAGCATGTGGTTTAAAATCCTTTTTACCCTCCTGAATCGATGTATCTCCGTCGATATGCGGGGCCAAAATATTCTACTCTCAAAGCAATCTCAAAGCTAACATGTAAAATTATCACTCCTTCAATCTTTCCTGCCCCAAGTAGTATTTTGCTGCCGGTGGACAAAAATTGAAAATACGCGAAAATCTGGTCCGCGGAATATCGTCTGTAAAGAACAATGCCGACCGACATCTACCTCGTTGCCATTTGTTGTTGGTAGTGGTTCGACTTGTGTTCTATGATGGACGCACGTGGTCTGTGTGGTTGCAGTAGAGGGTTTTGAAGGCGTTTTGCGTGAATTACCTCCGATTAAACTTGGCGGGTAAATCTGTCAATCTCGGTGATACGATTAAAATGTGTTGCGCAGTTTCCTCATTTTAAGTATATCTTACGATGTGAGAGCTTACCAAACTCTCTCAACGTTAGATTACGAAAGTCACGACTGTAATTCAGTGTGAGAAGCTTCGAAAATCGCGCCTTTTCATGCGATAAAACAGTTCTGTCTCGTTGATCATTAAACTGTCGGGGTCATACACCTTTTTTCATCGGAAACATTGAAAATAATTACACATCCGTATGTTGGAAAAGGAAATTCTTAAATGATGAATTATTAATTTCTACATGCACTGGATTACTCCTTTTAAATTCATCTTGTATTTACATAACTGATGACCTCTGGATCAATAGGCAAGGATGGCGATTAGGTGTCGCAGAGCGCCCGAGCGCAATGTAAAGCGACTGGAATGTATGTGTATTTACATAACTGTGTCGCAGCTTTTAGAAGAAAAATTTGGTAATTTTTTTATTTCAAGTGAAGCTTGCCGTTGACTCTCAGGGCATACTTTGAGGAAAAATTGGTCTCTGCAGCTCATTATATTTGTCTTGAAATTCGAATTTAAAGTCAAGATATGTGACGTTAGCTATTTGCTAACGTCTAAAAGTTAGCTTATTTGATTAGCTACAATTATAGGTCTCTCAAAATCTTAAAAATGTCACTCAATTACTTCATCTGTGATACCTTTTATTCCATGACAGTCCTATTTCTGATGAGCACGTATGTAATTTTTGTAATTTATCGCAAATTGATACAATTTTTGTGAATCATTGTTCTAATCTATTCATAAACTCCCGAGTCAGAATAAGTGCTGCGTGGTGTCATCATATTCAATATCAACAATATCACAATCTACAATGACCCAAAGTTCGCCTTGTGATATCATCACATGAAACGGCAATGCATACGCAACTTCTCTCGATTTCTTCTCTGTAATGTCAATAAGTATTGCTGCTTGTGTGTTTCTCTACCAGCAGTCGACGACTACTTTTTATTGACCAATAGATAGATAGATGATAAACTTCCAACTTTTTTTCCCCTTCCTATTTTTTATGTACCTTTGTAATCATCTGTTTAAATAATACAAGTTAGACCAAAGCGTTTGAAGTGTTGTATCTGTCGGAAGTGTTTATTGTACATTAGCTGTAGAATGTCAGATTTGATAGATGGTGTGTTTCTGTTATCAGGTGAAGAACCACCCACAGACATGCCCAACAACACAGAGCAGATCCCAGAAGAGTTGAAAGGGCTGAATCCTGAAGAACAAGAAAAACAAAAGGAAATTTGGGCTAAAGAACTTGCCACAGTAAGTGTCCTTTATTATCTCATTCCCTCTGTTGTTGCTAAACTTAAAGCTCTAGGTGGATACGGGCCGCCTCCAGAATTTGAGGGACTGAGCAAGGAAGAGCAAGAAGCACTGCAAGAAGAATGGTCAAAAGAGCTTATGACAGTAAGTCTCATTTAATTATTGTAATGATCTGTTGTCATGAGTGATTTTACCCCCAATACCTAGACTCAATGTCGAGCTAAAATGATCTAAGAAACCATCCAAATGAAGTAGGTAATCATTCAACCTATACCAATCTTAGTTAGTTCCTTTATAAATTTCATTTATCTAAAAGTTACACAAAAACCAAAACATAGATCAAAGTTTCAAAATGTTATTGTACTTATTATTTTGATATAATCAAACTCTAGTCTCAAAGCTAGTGAGTTTAGAAAAAAAAAATGAATTTAAAATTTAACGAGCTCTGTATCTTGTGATGAGATTTTTTATTTGCTAGATATGTCTCAAGGTCCTTGCAACCCCTTTCCCAGTAGGTTACTGATTTTCTATTTGTCATCCTTTGTTGCTTCCTGAGTCTCCATCTGGCTGTTCTGTCTAATGTTGCCCAGTGGGTACTTACCGTCAAAAATGTCAACTGCTTTAATCACGTAAGATATTCCTCCCAGTCCTTTGAGATCTTCCTTCAGCAGGCTTTAACCAAATACAGATAAATCGAGACAGATTCAAAAGGCAACAACAAAAAATACAAAGAAAATTCGTGCACTACCGAGAAAGAGGTAGGGAGGACTCTACAACATATCTAGTAATGAAGATTTGTTTTCACTGGTTACAGAGTTCATTGTTTTTAAATTTTAATTTTATATTCGTTCTGTGAATTTCTTTTGTTCATGTTTTCATGTAATGTTGTTGATGTTGTTTGAATTTTAAAAACTGAACTTGATGGTTAATCTGTTACCTAACAGTCTCTTTAATAACGGACATCTTCGCAAAAATGTCTGTGTTTCATCATAAAAATTATCACAACACAAAGTTTTAATAGACTCCAAAAACTAGCAATCATACAATCAAGGTATGCCTCACGTAGGTCTGTTAAATGTATGGAATGAAGGGATATTTGATGAATTTTAACACCATCCGACATACACTACTGTTACATTTTTTCGAAGTTTTCCAATTTTCAAGTCAAACATTAAGTTCAATCTTCTAGTTAGTTCTTCTCGACTCATTTGCTATTATTTCAAGTTTTGAGCTAAATATTCAATACAACTTAAGAGGGTTCTTCAACATTTTAAAAATGCCCCTTTGATGATCATTCGTAGGGTAGGGTCTATTGTCATCACCCTGCATATCCTTAAGTGTTGACGCAACAGTTCAGTACTTGACTCCAAATTGAAAGGTGTGCAGGTTGAATCCTCAGACCACTTCTTTTAGGAAAAAATCCTAATTAGTTTCCCCGAAATAAACCTTCTCTGGAGATTTTTGAACGTTGCAATTGAATTGCGCATTCTTCATATTTATCCATTAATTTGAATTTATTTGTATAAATTTCTGTCTTTCAATGAATATCATTATGAACTACCCTGACCAATGAATTTTCAAATAAAATAACCTACTTTTTTACTCTGACCCTTTCTTTAGCAATACTGGATTTAATTCAACTATCGTTTTACATACATGTTCTTGTTTGATTTTAGCTTGAAGAAGAAGTACAGACCTTACAAGATGTTTGGGCCTCGAAAACAGAGAGAATTCGGGAATTGAAGGCAAAATTAGGTTACAGCGTGTGGAGTGACTTGACAAGTCAGATGAACAAAGGCATCTCGAATGTTAAAGAGTCTCATGTGTAAGTACAACAAAGTTTATTGTTTTCCTCTTCTTTTCATTAGAATATTTATCAATTTTATTTTTAATTTTTGATGTTTTTGCACCAGAAGCCTTATGAGAACTGAATTATTTTGCTTACCGCAGTGATTTATGCCAATTTTCTTGATAATTCCGAAAGTGTGAAACATTTTTTTATTCTCCTCTCACCAAGACTATATTGCCTAAATTAAAAGAAAAGTAACTACTTGTAAACCTCCCTCCCACATAGCTGCAGCAGCAGGGTACTGAAGGAGCTGTGTGACGGCCAAAAATATGGACTACGATGATAGTTCTTTAGAATAACTTGCGAATATTACTTGAAGCCCCATTAGGGTTTTTCTTTTTCTCCTGAGTTTAAAGTAATGATTAATTCTTGAAGAGGCTTGATACATAGTAAACGCTTTTAATTTCTATGGCGCCTTATGTTTTTGCTTATTTTATTTTCGTTTTTATTTGCACTGTAGTATTTGCGATTTTCTTTTTTCATTTTTCTCCCATACTTATAATTTATTTTGTATTATATTTTTATTTATTTTTATTAGTTATCAAAATGTCGAGGAAAAAGTAACCCAGATCAGCAAAGCTGTAACAGAAGCACCTATGTAAGTTAATTATGATTTGTTTCCTTATAATTTGTACCCATGTTTTGTTTTCTCTTCTTCTCCTACTCTGTCCTTATTCTGCATTCTATTTTTACACTCAATGAACCCAAACTATCATCAAAATAAGCAGTCTCTCATTGTTTGCTGTTAAAGTTCAATTAGCTTGAAAAGAAAACCACATTTTTTAGTAAAATCCGGGAATTTCCATAACTTAGTAATCATATTTATTTAAGTAGAAGTACTATAGGTAATAACAATTTCATACAGTTGAGATGAAAGTTTTGAGAAAGGTAGTGGGTTTTACACTTTGGGATTGGCAGATCAGCGAGTCCATCAGGGATGCCTGTGGCATGCAAGATGTAGCCGAGTGGACTGGTTGGAGGAAAAAGATGTGATCAGAGCATGTTGATCAAATAGATGAAGAGATACTAGCAAAAATTTGTATGGCCGGACAACCCTTAAAAAAGAAAAAGATTACCCCCTCTGGAAAAGAGTACCTGGAAGACTGCCTAAAAGATGAGCATACAGCTGACTCTCTTCTCCTGAGAATAATTGAATACTTAATTCTGTTTTTTATTGATTTACAGAACTCTCTATTTTCAATGATTTTTGGATTTTTTAATATTTATTACATGTTTTAATGTGTTCAATACCAAATGGCCTGACAAACAGGGCTGTGCCCTTAGGGTGGCCCTTATTTTGGACTTTTTGAAATTTAATGAGCAGCACCCCCTACATTGGTTCTATTTGATGTAAAAACACTGTAAAAAAAATTTGAGGCCTTTACGTCAAGGGTAAATGGTGCCGAAAACAGGGGAAAGATGCAGCGCGTAAAACTGAAGAAGCGCATTTTTACGCTTTTCGCCGATTTGACTGCCGTTATTAAGGGAGTTGTAAATGCTCAACACCCATTATTGATGGTGTTTCGAACACAACTTTTTGCGTAGATTTAGGATATTTTAACAGATTTGGCCTCAGGTAATTACCTANAATCGGCGAAAAGCGTAAAAATGCGCTTCTTCAGTTTTACGCGCTGCATCTTTCCCCTGTTTTCGGCACCATTTACCCTTGACGTAAAGGCCTCAAATTTTTTTTACAGTGTTTTTACATCAAATAGAACCAATGTAGGGGGTGCTGCTCATTAAATTTCAAAAAGTCCAAAATAAGGGCCACCCTACTGTGCCCTAGTTGTTAGTAGAAGAAAAAGAAACTGTCACTTATGTTACTTTAAGTCATTTTATTGTACATGACTGAAATTTGGTCAGTCCTGGTAGTAGTTGGATGAAGTTAGTTTTAAGGGAAGATCCAACTCATGCTCTATTTATTAAAGAAAAAAATATCATGGTTCAAATGCTCTACCAGACTCAATTTAGGATTTAGTCTCTAGTTCAATGTCATGGAGCTAATCTTAAACGCTTAAGTCAAAAGCCAAGTTTTCATTTGCCATCTCTTGATGAGAGAAAGTGTTTTATGCAACTCGACCTCCAACTTAATGCTTTTGAGGAAGTGAGGTGAGCCACACTCAGGATGACAAGCTCTTGAAAAATCAAGACAATGCGAAAGAGTTAGTAAAAACTCAAACATGGAAAACCAGCAAAGTAGTCAGGAAATTTTGGCATTCAACCTTGAAAGTCCTAACTTCCTCAAAACTTGGAGTTGCTCTGATTGTATTCAAACAGGGAAATAATATGAAGTCTTTCTGCTAGCTTTAGGATAAAATTGGTGTGAAACATGAGATTCTGTGTGAGAAGGTAATTGGTCCTTCACGCCTGTGGATTCCTCTCATTTTGCAACCCTTAGGTCGAATGTCTGAAGCAGATCTGAAGTACCTATGTCTGTTTGAAATATTGTAATATTTCAGTAATTTTTCTTTGTGTTGCAGTTATCAGAAGACAGAATCTGTCATCAAGTCAACGGCTGAAAAAACTACCTCACTTTTGGGTGGATTCGGATCTGGCTTCACCTCTGGTATTTCATCTAAACTGGGCGCGATAAAAAATTCTGAATCCTTCCGCTCGTTTGAAGAAAAAGTTGGTGGCGTCTACGAAAATGTGAAGGTATATAAATCCTGTCAAATCTTCTTGTTCCTACATCGTTAGTTAGAAATTGAATATAGAGGTTTGGGTAAGCCCTGCTCTGGGTAGGAAGCTGTATCAAAAAATATTGTGAATTGAATTTTGAGTTGAGAAATGAGTGTCTTTTTTGCGCATTGAAAATCCTTTTTTTTTTTTTTTGTTGTCTCAAGAAAACGAGCCAGAACCTTGTCCTGAAATTTTCTGTGAATATACTTTGACCAGTCAAAAATTCTTACCGAAAATTTTGCAGTTACATACGATAGTTACCTAGTAGATACGATAGTTCTCTTTGAAGAATGTAAAATTTAATGGAAGATTATTTATTGTTGCAATAGAGATACCCTTCATTATTTTTAGTCATCAGAGTCGAAAACAGCAAAATTAAGTACAGTAAAATCCTGTCCAGTCAATTTATAACAATCAGAGTTGTAATTAATGATGTAAAAACTTCTCAACCATGCTATTGGGTGGGTCGTAATGGGTAATTGATGATCTTTATGTTAATATGTTATAAATTCATCAAAATGAAATGAGAGCCATTGATTCCTTATTCGCAATTTTCCTCCGGTAAATTAATAGCCTTGAAAAAAAATTTCCCTGAAAATTGCTGAACTTAAGTAATAGACGTAAAAGTCTTAGTCTAAGAGGAGTCAGGAAGTCAGATTGATCCCTTTCGAGCAAATCTTCAACCTCCTGCACAATTCAACAAAACAATTTTACAAGGTTTATGAATAAAGTTATAAAATTATTTGAACAGCTTTAAAATGTTCAATGATTGTCTGCCCTCGTATCTGAGGATAAATATACTAAGTTGGATTTCTCACAGTTCTAAATTACTTTGCGCCTTTATTTAGAAATAATTTATCTAATGAGAGTTGCCCACTTTGCTTGCGAACCAAATCGACAGTGAAACTGCAGAAATGCGTATCTTGGTTGCGGTGTTTCGAAATCCCCGCTCCTATTGACTTTTCTAAACAGGAGACCGAACCAATATCTTTGTGTGAAGTTTTTACAGAATATTCTTTAGAAAGAGCAGAAAAATCACTGAAGGTTTTAAAAAATGATGCTCTTTAATCTTCCATGTTGAAAATAAAGTATGTCAGGAAGTCTGCAACACCACAAACCAAGATTTGCATTCCTGCAGTTTCACCATAGAAATGTAATAAGTGCTCATAGAATAGATATTAATTTAACATTCTAATTTTGTTTCCAGACTAAAGTATCAACATCCAGGTCAAGTTCAATGCAAAGCTTTGATGATGCCCTTCGTGAAGCGGAAGCAGCTATCAAAAAAGGTGGCTCCGGAGCAACAACCCCAATTCCTGAAGAACGGCCATAATGTGATGATATTTGATGAAAAGGATTTCCAAGTGTTACTTACCATACTGTCAGTCTGTTAAAATTGTCTAATCTGAACTTTCCCGTCTATCCTTTCTTCACTTCTGATTCTTTGTGATAGTTATTGTTAAAATATCCTTTCTGTGTCGCTATACAATATCCATGAGACTTATTTATTCCTATTCTCTTCTAATCTACAAATCATTGAATTTTTAATCACCGTGTAGCCTTCAAATGAGCATTTTGATTCCTTCACTATTTTCAAAATCGTAAAAAAGGGTATTTTCTTTTGTATTACGGCATGAGTCATCGTTAAATTTGCAAGCCAATGATTAATATTGACGTTGATGGTGAAAATGTCCTTCTTTGATTATTTTCTTTTGTTTACACTTCACTGAGCTTTTTTTTTATTACTTTTGGCATTGCTTTTAAAGTAAAATAAAAAGAAGAAGAAAAAGAAATTGAAGGCAGAGATGATAACAATGTGGGTTTTAAATCAATTTTAATTAGAACACAATTAAGATGTAACTCCGTTTTTTTCTCACAGTATTTTGCAGGAACATTCCAGCTCTTAGAGTTTTGATGTCCAAATCAAAACATCTTAATTTGATAAAACTTTTTTCTTTTCTTTCATCCATGCTCATGCCTAAGTTCAACTACAAGTATGAATAATTATTGGTGTTTAAGGATTTTTAACTATTATTTTTTGTACAAAATTAATTTTTTTTTTGTTATGTTAATTGGCCAAACCAAATGTTATTTATTTGTGAAAAAAAAAATCTACGAATATTCACACTAGGTTTTTGTCACGATCATACTTCACAAGTGCAATGAATGTGAAAAAAAATTAGAAGAAAAACCTGCAAAGACAAGCTGAACAGCATTGTCATGGTTCTGTATTGATATTTTATTGAGCTGTACTTGTGTAAAATGTACTGTTGTATAAATTAAATTTACTGCTACATATTTAATTTTATGAAGGTTTCAATAAATTACTTTCAATAAAATAAGCATGAACTGATTTTTTTTTTTTTTTCAAATCTATACCCGCCTTAGCTCCATCCAAAAAGAAAACTCAGCCTCCCAAGTTTCAAATCAGCGAGATATTTTTAATAAGTTTTTGAAAGGAAGGATGTACATTCCAGTTGTTTCATGATGCATTTGCAACTGCCCAATTAAAGTAAAGTGCAAAAGAGAGCAAAATATATTCATAACCAGTAGTGTTCTTTCGCAGTTTTCATTGAATTCTTGTAAAATTGTAATTAAAATGTAAGTTTTTTCTCTTTTTCACCTGAAGAGAAAAGAGATAAATAAAAGTATTTTGTCAGGCTTTGGGGGATTTTTCCATTTGTCTATGTGTTTGTGTGGATATTTTTGAATTAAGTGTTAAAACATTCCAAATCCTTATTGAACATAACTTGAACAGACAGTTTTGCAGACCTTATTCAGTGCTTTTTCGTTAAATAATTACTGAAAAATATCAACTGCTGCAGATCCTCCATCAGGTCCCCCTACAGTTTTAGGGTATTCTCCCAACCTCCTCCCCCCAGAGGGTGCTAATATCAATCTTGAAACAGGTAAAAAAATGAAAAAATCCGGGGAATTCAAGGATTCAAGGAAATTTCAAAATATCATGGAATAATGAAACTGAGCGACTGAAGCATGAACTACCTCAAAAATTACAATACGGGCTTGCAGGGCATAAGGCTTTTTCCAGAGATTACGCTGCATAATTACAAGTGTAAGTATGACTCCATAACTTAAGTGCCATTGTAGCCAGTGAACAGTCATTCACAAGATGCTTGGATTCAAAGTTTTTTTGCCGCAAAGGATGAGAAAAGGGGTTGGGGTAGATCATCCCTGAACTAATTTGAAATTATACGCAACCACTGAAACACCATTTGAAAAAATTTGTCTGGCACACATCAAGAAGAGTACTATGAACAGTGTGAGCCCAGCACTATTTTACCACCTTGTCCTAAGTAAGTTTACGCACTTTTGGACTGCAGTAGAAGATGGTCTAACATCAGTCTGAAGTAAATGCAAGAATCAAGATGCTGGATCTTCTGTCACAGTACATAAAAAGTTTGGTGTGGACTTAATGAGGGGGTGAAAGTGAAGGTGGGGGAATCCAGGTCGCAAAATGCACCATTGTGAACTTTTTGTCCCATAAAATAACAATCCTGTCTTATCTTCAGAAATTATCTAAGAAAATAAGTTTCCTGCTTCAGTTCACTGGTGGGTAGGTACCATATATGTTGGCTGAAGATTTTCAAAAAAATTCTAAATGACACCGAAATGAAAAAAAAGAAATAATCAAATAGAAAAAAGGTTGGTGATGCTTCAGGCACGCACTCACGCACCTTTGCAGTTCAAAGCCGAATGGCTTTGCTGAGTCATGAGCAATAAGAAGGCAAGTAGGTGAGTAATTTTACCGCTTAGTAACACCTAAAATCCTAGTCGAAACGACGCTTTGAAGAGGTAAAGATTGTTTGGTTCCATTTCGTAAAAAAAAACTGAATGTGTAACGTTGGCTAATGCCNNNNGGAGGATATGGACCGAATTTTCGTTGTAGGGTTTTAAATACCCAGGAATCGTGATCCTCCTCGTAAATTTATCAGCCATTAATAAGGAAGTTTTGATAGGTAGTAGTGAAAGGTTGGGAAAAAATGAAGGAATACGGAGACAGTCGCAGATGGACAACAAAATTCAGAATGTCTCTTATAATAAGCGAAGCTCCCTCAGCTTGGCAACGCTGCATTGTTGTCATCTAAGTTTTTAGGTTAGATTAGAGGTAAACAAACGTTTACACTGAGAACTCCAATCTTGAAGTTTTAATCTTGTTTCCATCTCAAACTAATACAATGTTTACTTATCTTGCTTGAACTTGCCCGTGTTCTTTTAGGTTTGAACGGCTGAGTTGAATTAATTGAGAACAGCGGTTATTTAAAATTGTAATACACCGTATTCATTACTTACTCACTATCGTAAGTACCAGCACCAACTACTTAGACGTTCTATAGGTTCACTATCCTTACATCTTTTTTTACCTGTAAGAAAAGGATCTTGAAGTTTTTTTCTAAAGTTTTACTCATGAGGCGTTGTGACTGATTTAACAGGTTAGCATCATGATCACCCTGTAGCCAACGTTTTGATTACAACGAAAAACATGATTTCCGAGACGGGCAATTCTAGAGGAGTCATCCTGACATCTGCTCTTGTCGTTCCAGCGCTTTCAAATCATTTGAGGCTGGTGCCTTAGGTAAGAACTATGCACATTTTAGAATAGTAAATTATTATGACTTTTTTAATAAGTATATTAATTCATTGCACAATGAAATTCTCACATTGAGAACATAGTCTGAATGTACATAGGAGAGCTGGTGCCACTTTTAAGCATTTCCAGGTCCTGAATTCCGAGCCTCCTGTCGACACCGGGTCACTCTTTCGATACATGATTGATTTTTTTTATACAAGGGTACCCAGCCATCTGACGTAAACAAAGAAGATAAAAATTACCACGTATTCCACACCGCCATTTTGGATTGAAAAAGTGACTGGAGCTCGGTGCACACCGGGCTCGGAACTCGTCGAGCAGAACATGGCGCCAGCTCACCCATTTACATTACGACTCTAAGTACTCAATGAATTCTCATTAGTGTAAGCACCGAATTTCCTTTGATATCAATTCTTTCAATACTCTACACACGCACTACAACAGCTGAGATACAGCAGTGGTAGTCGTGTGCTCTCCATATAAGAATTGCTAGGCTGTAGCCTTCTAATATTGACTTAAGTAAACAAAGATGTCATAAGCAGATTTACTAATCGGTCCACTGTGCATGATGGTCAAAAATAGACAATTGCCATCTTATCTGATTCAAGATCAATTTAGTACGAAAATTTGTGGTTGAGGAAATTTCAGTTACTTTAAAAATTAATAGGAATACTAAATTAACTTTCTGTGGACTATATGTATCGTCTGATAACTAGAGCGGTACATTTATGGGTAAGATCAATTAAGTTTTCACGTGACCATGTGTACAAACTAATATCTTAATTTGAAATCTGTGTATCTTTTCCCGTCAATAGTCTGAGCAATTATATTAGACAGAGTTAAAAAAAAAAAAAAACATTTTCAAGCGGCCAAAGAATTGCAACTTCTGATCAAGGTGAGGAGCCACTGTCCCCATGCTGGAGTAATCGCAGTACTGTTCTCATAGTATCTACCACAGGCCATTGACCACCTGACCCCACCGTGCAGGAGTTCCTTGTCAACGTAGCCTTTAGTCTAATGGTAGCGAAAAATTTGCAGACCATTTTTAGCATGTTTAAATCCCTTGTTTCAATGGGTTTAGATTCAGCTTACAATCCTGATGAAAAATACATTTAATGATTACATTGGCAAGTAATTGTACCCTTAAATTCGGAATTTTTTAAAATGTAATGAAAAAATTCATGAGATATGGGGTAAAATTATTCACCAATAGGCGCACTCATATATATTTTTCATCAGGAATGTAGGCTGAATCCAAATCCGTTGAATCAAGGGAAACATTTACAGCGATGTCAAAATATTTGGTCTGCAAATTTTTGGCTACCAGTAGATAAAGGCCACATTCACAAGGAGCAGCCTGTTGGAAAAACCTGGCATGGGTACAACAGGTAAACACCTGAGGCAAGCACAGGGCTAGCGGCTTCTTGCTAGGAGACTTTCCTCAAGAAGATAGCCTTCTTTTTACTTTGTCCAATTTTATTTCCTAGACTATAGTATCTGTAATACTAATTTATGATATTGGTCCGTTGAAAAGTACTTAATTGAATATTTTTGCTTCACCCTGATAGACTATGGTAAGGGTATGTCCTGTGTTACAGATTTTTACAGTAACCACTTCAAAGATGTCAAAACTGTGAATGAAAGTCTTACTTTTCAACAAACCAATATCAGAATACTTGAATGCTGTAGCCAAACCTGATGAGATTGAACAGTCTAAAACAGAATGTGCCGTTCAAAGCTTCTTTTGTCAGAACCATTAACTTTAATAAAAGCCCAGTAATTATCATTGCAGCAATTCTGAATTGCTGCTTCAAGCTTCATCCATCCCTGTAAGCATGACGTACGGAAAAATTCTGGAATCTAATAATTTGAAATTTTTGCAGGCCTTGAAGCAAACTATCAGGATATTGCTACCCCATGACAAAGGCAATCGGCAGTATGACCCCATTACCGGACATTGAAAGACTGTGCACAAAAGAAGAGGGGTCATCCACTTCCCCTAAACCTGTTATTAATTATGAGCCTGGAGTAAGTAATGATGTTGAGGTTCTCAATGTCAGGGATAGTGTCTACATGCAGAACACTGTTTTGTCAAATGAGCAGGAATTAGTAGGTAATGAGATTGATGTTAAAAGTGCAGAGACTTCTCGAAACACTTGTTATGAATGTGCCAGTTGTCGAACCAAAGTTCAGAGCAAAAGTAAGCTGATCTGTCATTTCAAAGAAAAGCATAATTTTCTTGAAGACTGTGGAAGTAACATAAGAGCTGAAATACATAAGTGCGATGTTTGCAATAAAATTTATACCCATAAAAGTAGTTTAATGAAGCACAATAAGTTAAAGCATAATCTAAGTGTAGAAAAGACGTTTAAATGTGCTGAGTGTCCATCTATGTTTAATTGTGTCTACAACTTGAATGCTCACAGAAAAAAGAAACATCCAAAAGAGGAGTCAAATTCTGAAGAAGAAATTGTGTATGAAACTCTCTCAGGTGACAAAGTTGTAGTAAAAAAGAATAAAAAAAAGTCGTTCCTCTGTAAAATGTGTGGCAAGAAGTTTAGTCATTTGAGTGGGCTGAGCTACCACAAAAAGAAAAAGCATGGTTCTGTCGTTGATAGACCTTATGAGTGTTCACAATGTGATGCCAAATACGCCATGAAACGTTCACTCCACCAACATCTTCGAAAAATGCATGGCTTAGGTCCCTCAAGGCAATCAAAATTTTCTAAACCTTCCATAAAGTGTGTTTTATGTTCAACAACTTTTGTGACGAGCTCCCTCCTGTGCCAACACTATACCCATTCGCATCAAGTCAACATTGAGTCAGAAAATTTAGAATTTTCATCCTACAGTCTCTTCCAAAATTGGAAACACAATTTTGAAAGAGAAACAAATGAAAAATTTATCCTTGAAAGAGGCTGTCAAATCTCTAAAGCCAAAACAAAGAAATTTCGATTCTTGTGCCATCGCTCCGGACACTTTGTAAGGAAGGGCAGCATCAGAAAATTAAAAAATCAAGGAAGTAAGAAAATGAATGCTCACTGCCCTGCAATGATGACGGTTTCCGAATTTGCAAGTGGCATTTGTAAAGTCTATTTGTTAAAAACTCATGTCGGTCACACTGCTGATCTATGTCACATTTTTTTGACTCCCTCAGATCGCAGAAAAATAGCTGATCAAATCGCATCTAAAGTATCTTTTGATGAAATATTGGATAATATAAGGCAATCTGTCGATGGCATGCCATCAGAAAGGCTTCACCTTTTGAAGAGAAAAGACCTTCACAATATCGAGAAAGAGTTCAGTTTAGCAGGAGAAACTGAAAAGCTTCAAAATGATGCTGTCAGTATTCATTCTTGGGTAAACAGTGTTTCCAATCAGGCTGATCCCTGTGTCCTATTTTACAAACCACAGGGTCAGACACTAGATATTCCTAATACCACTCTGAAAGATGACGATTTTATCCTTATTTTAATGAATTCCTCCCAGAGCCAACTGTTACTGAAATATGGTAAAGATAAAATTGTCTTAGATGGAACTTACACCTCGGATAGTGATTTCCAGCTGATCACCATACTTGTAATTGATGATGTAGGTCATAGCTTTCCTGCGGCTTTTCTAGTGTCCAATAGAATTAATGTAGACATTCTCTTATTCTTATTTCATCAAATAAAATCCAAAGTAGGAACATTAGTGCCAAATATTCTAATGTATGATATTGATGAGCAATATTATTTTGCTTGGGCTGAAGTCATGGGACAACCTTCCTCCAGATTTTGGAGCCCCTGGCAAGTTGATGCCTCATGGCGTAAAAATATTAAACGCAAAATAAGCTCCAATAATAAACGAGCGGAAGTTTACAAAACACTGAGGGTTTTGTATCAAGAGGCTACCACGGATTCATTCTTAAAAACTTTAAACAAATTTGTTGAAAATCTTTCACTAGATCTTTCCCTTGAAGAGTTTAGATCTTATTTCTCCCAATTTGTAAATAATGTTGAACAATGGGCCTCATGCTTCCGAGTAAAGTATGGCATCATTATTGACACTCACATGGAACGTATGCATCGCACATTACGACATATATTTGTCAAGGGTAGAAGACTAAAAGAGCTTGATAAAGTAATAATAGCGCTAATGAAATTAGTGCATGACAAACTCTACCACGGAGATCTCATTTTGCAGAAAGGAAATGTAAATGCTAAAATAAGTATAATCAAAAATAGGCATCGTAAATCATTGTCACTCCTCGCCAATACTGTCATAGAATCTCCCAAAGGATGGCAAGTTCCATCCTCTGTTGATGATTATTCAGAGCTTTGTTTTGTTTCTAGAAACCCCAAAAAGCAGGTATGTGCTTGCAAGTTGGTCTGCGATGATTGTCAGGCGTGCATTCATATTTATCATTGTGAGTGCATAGACTCTTCAATTTTAGGTAATATGTGTGAACACATACACCTTGTGTGTAGATATTTACAACATTCCGAGCCGGCTCAACCAGCTCAGACGCTTAACACTGTTGAAAGACTAAACCCCATTGATCAGTTATCGACTGTCGTTGAAATGCCCCCTGTTGCGCAGTTAAATGAAGTTGAACCAATGATACCAGTCGACCAAATAACGTCGGTTGAGTCGCATATTAATTCTCATACCATCTCCACTCTACAAAGTGTAGATACTGTACCAAATTTGATGGCAGTTGATTCTTATGAGATTTATGTCTTGCCAGAGTTATCATCTGAACTTCCAAGTCTGATGCAGAGGAAAGAAAATGTTATAACTTTGTTTTTGGAGGCAGTCAACTCAGTCTCCAGCTATGAAGATATGGATTTAATTGAGAGGGCCACCTCTGATTTGGTCAGTTCATTGGCAACTGTTAATTCTTATTCTGCTCAAATTAATTAATGAACACTCACCATCAATTGGTTCATCTGTTTGTGATAATGTGGCTAATCAGTGATAGGTACTTAATTATTTTCAAAGAAGAGCATGTTTTGATTATTGTCAGTAGGTAACTTCCAAGTAATTCTGAAAAAATTCTATTCATACCACTTCTGGTGTTTTTAAATCTCTATGTTTGTTCGGTCAACTTGTGAAGGTCAGTTTTGAAAGTAAAAATTTGAATTTTGTTGGCATCAATAGTTTTTAACAAGAATGAAAAGTGCTCTTACTTGAGAAATAGCCTAATTAAATACTTTACCATTTTAATAATTTTACTTGTACTTATCAAGATAAGATGTAAATTATAATATTCTGAAGCTGTGAATGTTTCAGTATATGAATGTACAGCACATTTATTTTTTTTTAAAAATTACATCGGTAAGTTGTGATTTCTTGGTGCTAGTTATGTATTTTTATAGTGTACTGTGGAGTGTGGACAGCTCCCACCTTCTTCCCATTAAATTAATGTTTCAGACAATGTTGCAATTACTATATCAAATATTGAAGTTCAAAAACGAGCTATTTTGCAGATGGCGACAAAAAAGTTCATACTCACTATTTGCCCCTCGTTTATATTCCTTCATTTAAAAGATAATGGTCTCTTATTATCATCTGAAATTTTGTATCCTTGTTGTAAAGTAATCCTCCTGGACAAGTACTCGTTAGTTTCCTATGGAAAGAGCAGAATACTCTGACAGGCTAAATTTTTTGTAAGGTCATAATTGTGAAGACTAGAGAGCCTCTCAGAACGAAAGCCTCTCCATCTCATTCTTAGGAGGACTAGGCAGTAAATTTAAATTGTTCGCTAGAAGTTTTTATTTCCAGCTTTTTGACACTGGAGTGAATCTTTTCCTCTTATTTCTGTTTATAACTAAAACAGATCTCTCAGTAATCGTCTTTTCCAGATTTTAAAAAATCTCTGGGCCAGTCCAGCCTTCCTCCCCTCCCTGCCCCCAGTGGCGATTTTTCCAGAAAAACCCTGCATTTTTCCAGCCCTGACTCAGGTTGACAGATGGTGACAAGACTAATCACAATGAACATAATGACTTTCTCTCACTGCATCTATCACTGTGTGTCAGTTGTGTAAATAACTGATGTGCTGATATGTAGCCATGGCAAATCCTATTCTCAAAGAGGGAGGACTGGGACTGAATAAGTGAGCAAGAATACCGCCCCATTGGTGTTTTCTATTTGACCGTAAGGAGACAAACTGGTCTAAAATCACCTTAAATATCGACCGTTCCCGCCGTCCTGTCTAACCTTACTTTGCTCTCGAAGCATAGCACTACATGGAAGTGCAGTCGTTTTATTTCAATGAAGAATATCTTGAAATTACGTAGTCTTTAAAACTTTATCACATCACAATTTTGTACATTTGCCACGTGTTTTCATTTTGTAATTATAGATAAGACTTGTTACATTCTTCTGTAGTCTAACAGAAAAATTCAACCACACTTATGTGACATCTATAATTATTTATTAATTTTTCTACCTATGATTGTGGTGTGATGATCAACAACTCGCAGTGTGTTGAGTATAACTTGGTATTGTACCTGCCTATTATGCTTGTATTGAAATAAAATGTTGAATAGTATACCAACCATCCATGTGAAGTTTTTCATTCAAGTCCTGTAGCTTCTTACATTTTATCTAAATTATGGCAGTATGTGAATGATAGATACCCTCACGAACCCTCTCAGCTCTTACGAAAAGAGACCCTACTGCACCTTAGCAATTAGCATTTTCATTGAACTCATCAATTAAAGTCAGAAGCCCTTAAACTTATTTTTTAATTTATTTTTCGTTGTTGAAATCAAATATAATGCATGTGGAAGGGTTGGCGAATTTGAACCGATTTTTTGGTGCTAATAATTGAGACATTACATTGAATTTTTGGTGCAAATAATTAAGAAAATTGTTTTGATTTTTTTGGATGCTTTGAAACCGGAATTGATGTTTAGTACAGGCAAAAGACTAGGATGAGACAATTTTTGTCAAATTTTGAAGGCGTTAACAGCAATGATATAATGTTGATTATTCTTTAACCTAGATAGATCCACAAAATCATTAAAGTAATTAATCTGAGGAAAATCAATTTTTTTACCATGGACTTCTAAAGTTGAGGTCATGAATGAACCAAGGTATTTGATGAGTATCTTAACCATAACTAGTCGGCCTCCCATAGTGTACTGGTTTTAGCGCTAGCTCTATGATCGGGAGGTCCCGGGTTTGATTCCCGGCCAGGCGACCCAAGTTTGACGGTCTCAAACAATGATTGCCTGGGACTGGTTGTTAGGGACAGGACTGAAACGCAGGATTAGCCCTTATGGGCTAGAAGTAGTAAAAAAAAAAAAAAAAATTTAAGGCGCACGCCATCATCAGAGAAAAATTTTCAAATTTACAAATTCACATGTCAAATTGACATTATGATCATATGTAAATTTGACACTTGATAATTTTGCTGTTGATGGCGTAAGCTGGAAAGCTTCAGTAAAGATACTCATGTATTACCTTGGTTTATTCATTACTTGCCATCACAATGGTGTTGTTCAACTTAAAATTTTATGAAGTCTTACTTAGTCATAGCGATTTTTTGGTAAGAATCAAATTGATTCACTGAAATCGATATTTCCTCTAAGATCGCCATTCCTACTACATATAATGAAAATAAAGAGGCCATCATTTCTTCAAGTCACAAAATTGACCATGTTAAATAGTGAAAGAATGTAAGATCGACCGAAACAATCCAAATCCATAATTCAAGTAACTACTCGCGGCTTCAAGCACCATTCCTCTAACTGTTAATAACTTCAGGACATTGACAGCACAGCTGTTATCACTGACCTATGAATGAGTGTCTAAATAAGGAAATGTAATAATCATGATAAAAGAATTTTGATCAATTTACCACTTATAGGTGTACATGAACTTACAATATGTTTGATTTGGTAATTTTAAACATCAATGCCATTGAGTACAATTGAGTCGCAATGTACTGAAGCGCCTATAGAGTCAATCCTGGAGTGATGCTTTCTAGCCTCTTGTTCGCCAGAAAGTGGGAACCATGTGACATTTTTTACACGGCAACTTGTGGAAGAATCACCGGCTACGAATGATTTTAGAGATCTACCAATTAATTTTGATCAATAATAAGTTACGTAAATTTTGGCTGAGTATGTTGACCAGAGTCGTAGCAAATTCAAAAATGTATGAAGATCCTGGTTTTTAGGAGATTAATTTTATACCTCTATTTTTGGAGCATAGCCTGGAACTGGGACCTCGCCGTATCGCTTACCGCCAAACACTAATCTCAGGAAAACTGGGCAAAACAGCCTTAAAAGGTAACTCCATCAGCGCTCTAGTATGATACAACTCAATTGTAAGCATTCTATTAGCAATGCAACTGATATATTGTGAAAATATTCATTTTACTGTAGATAATTTAGAAATAATGAGAAAATCTCAGCTGATTATTTTGGCAAATATCCGCCAGAAAATGTATAAGGTTTCAACTTTGACTACTAGTGGTGAAGATTAAATACTCAAGAGATTGCTTGCTCTAATTAGCTGCAAAACATCAGTAAAAATGAATTCTTATAACTTGATTTATGACTTCATGTAGTTGAATCTTAACTCGGTTGTTATACACAAATTTCATAGAATCACTGACTTTTCGTATGTTATGAATCAATAGAAAATCCAGCCAATTTTGCAGACTTTTCAATCTAATATGAAACCAAATTAATAATCCACTTATTTTTACTGCGTTTTGGAGCATGATGGCAGAAGCGGGGTGAACCTTGGAAGAAAAGATGATCTGAATACTAAATTGTACAAAATTTATTTTTTGAGAAACGATAACAAAGTCCAATTCGTAAAAATAAAAATAGTCTATTCGTTATCTTCATCCTCGTCATCTTGGTTGTTAATCTGTGAACAGAAAAGGAGGAAAACCGAATAAATGAATGAGTGGATACATCCATAAGCAGAAAAAAATAGCAGTATTTCATTATCCTGACGTTACCATTCTGATACTCTCAGAGTGAAATGGACATACTTGAACAGAACGCACTAAGTCTCATTTTGGGGGGAAAAAGAAAGGGAAAAAAAGAAGAAGAAAAAAAGAGGTAGGAGTGCTTTTGAATTTGAGTAGTTGTAAAGTTCCTCCTGCCGAAAATTCAAAGTTGAAAAATAATATTTTGAATGTGAAAATAGTTCTCATACTTTCTCCTTAATACTGAGTCTTATAGAGGAAATGATCTTAAAACCTCTAATCTTCAGTTAAAACATGATGTAACTACAAGCACTTCTGTAAAACACTGTCCAAATTCAATAGGGAACATATTGATAAGTCAAAATAGGTCATATGAGTTTTTTCCATCGTGAAAAGGCAAAGAAAAGTTCAAGTAAGAGAAAGAAAGACAGAGATGCGTAATAATCCTCTCATGGTACTCTCATAACTGACTGATTTAGAGGCTGCATTATTCTTCAGATATTCAACATGTCGATGCATGATAGTTCAAATCAAAACAATAGAACATAATTTTAGGCTCAAATTCTAGAGATAGATATGTAAAGTTGATTGGGTTCATTGAAATGCAGTCATAGAAAAATCATAGATTAGTGAAAAACTTATTAAGTAAATACTAGAAATTTCAATCGAAAAAATCAGCCGTTCTTTCCACTATGACCAGCATCAGAGACAAGATTAAGTGTTTATTTACCAAAATAGAACCGTCAAACTGCGATGTTAAACTATTACTTAGCCACTGAATCAGTCTATAATGAGAACTTTCAGTAGGGGGGTTGCAAAAGCTGCATCGTTTGCTCATCTAACCTTCATGCTTCTAGATCAGCGACATCTTGAGAAAACCAATTTACCGACTGAATTCTCTAACACATTTCTCAAAGGTAAAAAAAAGGGGAAGTGACCTACAAAAGTTACATAGTTGAGCTTTTTTAGTTGAGCAAAAGCTCAACTATGTAACTCCAAGTATCGATGTATGCAAAGCCGCAACTGAGTAAGTCTGTACAGGGTGTCTGCTAAAATTTCATTTTGGATTTTCCTGATATTTGAAATTTCCTAATGTTTTGAGTGGATAAGCTGACACTTCTTTGATTTAACAAACCAACAATGATTACAAAACAACAAATTATGAATTGTGTCAAGTGTTTCACTTTGTCATGTGTCAGTTGCAGACAGTTGAAAAATGCTTGCTGCTTTCAGAATTTCCTGATAACATCAAATTCCCTAGTATTTTCCTGTTTTCACTGACAGTTGACACCCTATCCATAACCTAATTTAATGCAAATCGGTAAATCAAATACCACAAGAATGAAATGGCCACTAAATCAGTTTATTTATGGTGCAGAGTTTCCAAAACATATTGTCTCTGCCCAAAACTCATGCAAAAAAAGCTGTGCTCTTTGATGAAATTTGTGGGAAAATTATTTCTGATGAACAGTGTAAACAATCTATGAGTGCTGCCAATTTGAAGAAATAAATCTTTTGTGTGTATAATTCTTTTTCCCGACTTCTTTCACTTAGGATAGTAGACATTGAAATCCATAGCACATAGACATAGCACTCGTCAATAACTGAGAAAGAACAACACCGCAAGGGTGAGGTCTTCTCCCATGCAAAAACTAACGTAATTACCTGGAAGTATCTAAGTTCATATGTATCGTGCGCGCTTGAGACAACTCTTAGCCAGTCTCTGAGGTTGTTCTTTTTAAGGTATTTCTTTGTTAGATACTTCAAGTACCTGAAAACATAATTTGAAAGGTTAGTGTCTTATCACAATGATTGGCAAACATTCAACACTAATAACTTTGGTGAGGTGAGAAAAAACAATTAAATGGGCCTTGACAGGCCAAATGCGTCTTTTCCCAGGGGGTCAGTGTGATGGCCTTCAAAGTGAGTCCAGTTTTTTATGTCAATTCAGTCTCTTCCTTGGATGGATTAATGTGCTTTGAAAAACAAAAATAAATTGTTTCAACTTGAATATGAACGCAACTCAATAATTTACTTCAGTTGAATCATGGTCCATGATAGCTTCCTGCATTAAAATCAAAGACCGATCAATGGATTTCAAAAAGAAAATTTAAGGACTTTCGAGGAGAGTGGCTGGGAAAAAATGGTGAGAAATTATTGGCCGTCTATGTTGATAAAGGAAAAGTTGTTTTGTAATTTTCTTTTATTTCTTTCTTTTTTCTTCTTTTTGTTTTAAAAAAAAACCAATGACACAAGATAAATTTGGACAATTATTTGGAAGCCTTTTGAGGCATATCTTGCCCAGGAAATTATTTTTCATTCATTTATTTATTCTCTTAATTTATTATTTTGCTGACTGCTTCAGAGAAGTGAGAAAAATTGCACATTTGATAGAGATATCTTGCATTTTGCCATGAAATCAGATGTTTGCTTCTGAGGAATCGGGCAACTGCAGTAAATCAAAAATCTAAACACACACACAATATGACAGACTCCCGCAATCAGTTGGCATTTAGGCCGCTCCTGAATAACCTGGTCTGGTAGAATGATTTTCAGTCTAAATAAAAATTTAAATTAACTAATTCCACTAAGTATAAGTTGCTGGTTAAACACCACTGAAACTATCTGAAATGAAGCTTATTACTTACTTCTTTGAAAGGAGAATAGAGGCCTGGACAGAGATTTTCATTTTTTGCCTGTCTATAGAAATTAATTTGCCATAGTTGTTGGTTTTGTTGTTTACTTTTATCCTTTCAGACAAGTATTTCTCCTGTAGACAAAGAAAACAAAATGAATGAGTAAACTTGCCACTAAAAGATAGAGGAGTGGATGAGGAAAGAAATTAACATTTGCAATTGCCTGAGGTTATTTTGATACTGAGATGGTTGAGAGATAAAAAGGTTGTACATGAGACAAAAAAGTTGGTCAAGCATGCTGAGGAAATAACAGCTATATCATCGAGTTAATTTCAATTATTAACTATCTATTTTGGTATGTGTACGTACATATTTGCAACCTCTCAAGACATTTAGATTAAAACAAACCATCCACGAGGAGACATTACTAGAGATGCCGTCAGCTAAGTCGACGGTTGTTTGCTTTTGGTTTGAAAGCGTTTTCGCATCGCTCATATCCACATGAAAAAATAAGACTCTCGCAGAAGCAAGAACACAGGCTTAAATAAGTTGTTTAATACTTTTAAACCTTGTAACACTTTATTTTTTAGCCACACAGAAATCACAACCACATGAAAGTCATGAGTCATAACTGATGAGCAGTTTTTTTACGATACAATCATGAGACGGATGTTTTCAAAGTGGACAGTAGCGAATGACGTTTTGTGCAGAGGCTCAAATTTGTCGTTAACGCTTGGCAAACCAAAAGTAAACAACTGTCAACTTAGCTGATGACACCTCTAAGTGGCACCTGATCCCCTAGTGATAATACTGTCATTAGCAAAAATAATATCAAGGGCTCTTGCGTCATTCATTAAAACATAGTAATCATCATTGCTGCATGCATTAGTGTCTAATTTGAAGTGTTGATGATTTTACAAAACAATTTGTCACAAACTGTTTGTATGGTGGTTCAACTCCAAATATGAGTATATATTGAGCATGATAGGATAGGTCATCTAAGTTTTTGGAACTTTCTGGTCAAAACTCCATTTTACAGAAGAAAGTAGCTGACAGGTTGAGGACGGATGTGAAAGTTACATAGATGCCAAGATAAGTTATTTTGATGAAGAATTGAAATTTGGAAGATTCAAACTTACAAAGTTGACCATGTCTAGAATTTTGTCTTCAGCGGGATGCGTACAATCCAGATAGAATTGTTTGTGGATCTTCGGGACTTTGCGACCTTTTCCTTTAATGAAGATTTTGGTTTTCTTTGCACCTGTTAGAACTGGCTTCTTCACCACACCTCCAGCCGCACCCTTCTTTTTCGTGTTCAGAGCAGCTTTCTTGGGCTTGCCAGCAGCCTTGGTCAAAGTTGGAGCAGCAGCTTTTTTAACGATTGCTGCCTTTTTCTTGGCAGGTTGCTCCTTGGCTGACTTGGCATCAGCTGGCCTCTTCTGAGCGGAGGCAGCTGCTGCTGGTTTCTTGGCGTCAGATTTGGGAGCAGCCTTGGCAGCCGGAGCTGCCGCCTTTTTGGCACCATCAGCTTTTTTAGCCTCTGGTTTCTTGGCAGCAGCAGCTGGCGCTGCTGGTTTTGCGGCAGGCTTTGCTTTCTTAGCGGCTTCTGCAGCGGCTGGAGTTGGTGCTGCGGTCTTCTTGGCAGCAGAGGCAGCTGGTGCTGCTGGTTTTTTAGCTCCAGCTGCGGGTGCTGCTGGTTTCTTAGCACCAGCTGCAGGTGCTGCGGGCTTCTTGGCTGCTGCAGCAGGTGCTGCTGGCTTCTTGGCGGCAGCTGCTGGTGCTGCTGGCTTCTTACCTGCTGCTGGAGCAGATGCCGGAGCTTTCTTGGCAGCAGCAGGTGCAGCTGCAGCTGGCTTTTTGGCTGCAGGGGCGGCTGCAGCAGGTTTTTTAGCAGCAGCTGCGGGGGCTGCTTTCTTTGCTGTCCCTGCGGAGGCAGCAGCAGGTTTCTTTTTCTCACCTCCTAATGGAGCAGGGGCTGGCTTTTTCTGCAAAGAAAAAAACAAAATGGATAAGCAAACATTTTGAGAGTAACATGAGAAAAGTACATGAAGAGTAGTGACAAGGGATCAAAAAGGTTCCCCCTTCAACACATCTTGAGCAAAAAAATGAAGAAAAAGCAAAAAGGTGCATTGAATTTTTACATTTCTATACTCAGTAAGTACTCAAAATTTGGCAGAGTGAGTAAATCGGAAGGGCCAGATACACCTGCGTGCTACACGCGCGTGTTGACCCAAAAAGTAGGATCTGATCCTACTTTGAGCGAGTTACAAGTGCCAAGTTGCGACCTGATTGGCTACAAAGATTGCCAAACACGGCCGAAAGTCTACTCGCCGCTCAAGACGCGCGTCTTGCTCACAGGTGTATCTGCCCCTTCAAGGTTGAGATCTGCCTTTATGACTGTACCTCAGTTTCGAAGCAAGGCCAACCCCTCCCTCCAATGCATCTACTACAGAGTCTGTCAAGTAGTTTTACAGATACATGAAAATTCAGTTAAGTAGTCAAAAGAGAACAAACCTACAAACTCTGGTAATAAAATAATTGTAAACCTTAGTGAGGAGTATCACAGTGGTTGATGTTAGGTTAAGCAGTGACAAAATTAAGAGAGGGCACAAAACCATCAGAAAGGCAGAAAACTCTGCTTCAACAAAAACAGACATGGTGCTGGAGAAGTCATGGCGAGGACATAACTTTTGACTTGACCATAATCAATGAATATTAGCTCCAATAGGACCAAAATATAAGGCGATCGTTCATGATTGATAAGGAAGCTACAATTCGAAAAAGTTTCGAGACCTATTTGCAGAAGCATATAGGATAATTAAATTGAAGTTGAATCAGGCTAAAAAAGTTTTGTTTAATATATTTCCATTTCACAGATATTTCGTAAAGTCAACTTCAGACATTAGTGTCTGATATTTTTTGTAAAATCTCTCTCGAAATCAGTCCCTTTCCTTATTTACTGAACCTGTTGCGATTCGTTTTCAGAACTCCTTACTTAAGCTTCTAGAAAATTAAGGGAATATTCGACGAACTTTCCAGAAGTGATTTCGGTGCAGTATCGTACAAGATAGGCAAGAGCAGAAGACAAAATAACAAATGCGGCGGTCCAGATGTCATCAAAGTCTGGTACTAGAGCTAGTGTTACCTATGTGATCTAGACTCTTGCCAAACATTAGTACTTTAGGGCACTCCTTTGCTGAAATATTGTGGGATTTCTTGGAAAAGTATTGGACCCGAAGAGGGTAAGAGGGGCTACCTGACATACTGAGGAGTGAGGACAGCTTATTAAATCGACAACGCAGGTTCCCTACAGGATGAGTGGCATGCGTTATTGCAGGTAACCAGATACAAGACTTACGGTGTCCCTGAGGGAGACTCATAAGAAAATTGAAATCTAAAGGATGTAGAGGACATCCGGAATCCAGAATAATTAATTCAGTCGATTTAAGCCAACAATAGGACATGGCATTTCCTTCGAGAGAACCGACATAACCTAGAAATCAGTGAGAAACTGCGGAGTAGGGAGGAATTTATCCAGTTGAATCGTCGGTAAGATGCTGGGATAGCGAAAAAATTGGAAAATTTTGGGACGCAAATACTATGAATAACATATTGAATTAGAAATATTGATCATGGAAAGCATAAAATTGTGTTTTTCTGGAAAAATATCAAGCGAGTCGGTGGTTGTTTCGAGCGAGTAGAGCTCCGCTCTTAAAGCTACCTTCAACTTTAGTGCCGGGTAGAATATGAAAATAAGACTAGGAATGAATTAAAAAAGAATTAAAAAATAAGATAGTACTTACGGGTGGCATTTTAAAGTCCACAAACTTTAATCACACAAAAAGATGGAAAATCCTATGGCCACGCTAATGTCGGCCACGCGAACTCATACGGGACGAGAGCGGAAAATTGTTTACCTCGTCGTAAGAAGAGCACCAATAATCAAGCGCGAACGGTGGACGTACATCAAACATCTTTGGCGGGAAAATTTAAAATAACGCTCCTAGGTTTTCATCCCTGCACTAGCCTTTACCGATTCATAATTCTTTCTGGTTTCACCCTGAGAGGGAAGATCTATAAATATTTTGAATTCAAATTGTGTTACTATTGTGTGCTACATAGGGCTAGAGTCCAAACTAAATAAGCTTTTAAACCGTGGCAGAAGTTCAGCCTTCTTAATTCATGCATTTACTGACTATCCTAACTGACGTTAGACAATCGTCTTGTCACAGTCCAAAAGTGAACAAGCTAATTCCGCGTGGACTCAAAATTAATTACGCGTGAAACTGATTGAACTGTGTTTCTGCAAGTTATATTGCAATAGGCAGATGGAACGTGAGCAAGAGAAAAAAAAGGAAAAAAAACTGTTTCTTTTTGATCCACCATCAATCTTTGCATAAATAAAACTGCATGTTCACCTGGAAAGTAATTTAGAATTCAATAATTGAGGTTCCCGAACATAATCCATTAGTGGCAATTTAATACAAAATAAATTCAAAAGTTCTGTCATTTGAAAGAGTAAAAAATTAATAGGTTCAATGCAGAATGTAACTTTCTAAGAGATCTTCTAACTAAGTAGTTAATAATGACTTGACATTAGATGACGGAACAGGTTGGTGTATGCTATTATACTTTTCCAACTTTTAGAAAACTTGGAATTTTTTTTTTTTTTAGAAAGTGAATATTTAATTTGGTTAAACAAGCATAAATAATAAGCGTAGGAGTTTTCGAATATTTTACTTTATTTCACAGGAAACTTTTGCAGAAATTATAACAAGTAGGTTCTACATGATAAGTATGAACTTAGAAAAAAAGTTGTACATGATAAAGAAGAAAAAAAAACCTCAGACCACATATTTTTAAGTTTAAAATCACAGAAATGCTTTAAAATAGGAAATTTGATAGATCTGATAAGGGTAACAAAAGACTTGCTAGCATATACGGCTTCCAAGAAAAAACTCTGCTTCTCCTTAATGTCTCTACATTTTCTTCTTGATTTCCTTAACCAGCATAGAGAGTTCCGTATCCTTCTTCAGCAAACTACTGTCAATTTTTGGTTTTTTGGAGACCCCTGGTTCCTCCTAAATAAAATAAAATAAAACATACAAAATGACTAAGGTTGTGTAAAATGAAAACATTTCTTATCGGTAAATTCCTAGCAAGACTTTAAAAGACAGACTGTCCTATTCAAGAGGCAAAAATTTCAGGTGTATAAATATATGATGATGACAAGTCTATGCAGGCAAAAAATTGATTCCTTTTTTCAAGGAGAAATTTAAACAAAATTAAGATAGAGACACCCGAATCCATTAAATTAAAACTCTGGCAGTGTACCAAAGAACCTCTCATAAAAATTAAGGTCGATCTTGCAGATGGCTTCCCAGGCTGCCTTACAAAGAGCCACAGATTATGGTGCTACTTTGATCTTTGATCTCTAGAACAATACTCATGGTGCTATCAGTAAAGCAATCTGCAAGCAACTGTACAAATTTAATAATCTGTGCTCATTTGTCCTACAATGGCGCTGACAAGTTTCTCGTTTAAACATAGATGTAAACAGATTACAGATCCTCCCTACGTGGGCTACAGAATAAGAATAATACAAAAAAGTTAATTTACTTTAATCAATAAAACAACTTACTTACTACTATACTATAATCAATAAAACAACAGCCAACTTACAAATTCATAATTAGGGTCAGATTTTCTCCTCCTCTGTTTTTCAGAGATGATTGCTTCCATAGCTTTAGTTTTCTTGAAAAGGGGATTGGCAGGATCAATGTTGAAATGATGAGATGTGTAGAGAGCACTGAAACGCTCGTCTTGGACATCAGCCTGAAAAATCAAGCAAAGCAGTTTTTAGAATTAGGCTCAGTAACGCTCCGATATATACACAGCACAAAAAAAATAATGTTCAAAATGACTTTGACGCATTATGTTAAAAATGAGCAGTTCCGGTGATACCTTAAAGGAGGGTTTTCCATAATGAAAGACAGTAACTTAGAGAGAAGCGCATTAATGGAAGTCGGATTATTTTGATAAGAGAACCCAACCTACATATGCTAAAAAATCTTGCAAATTGTTACTGACTTTTAACGTATAATATTTCAGGCTTTAAAAGCTCTTATTTTGGCCTTCTTTGTCTGAATTAGGAGAAAACGATTGCTTTAAAATGCCACAAATTATATACTGGAGACTGATACAAAGGAGGAGTTGCGTTTTGGGCCTTTTCCGGCCCCACCTGGATTTTGCTAAATGTTTCATATTTTCAAAGTACTAGTCTTAGGTAGACTCTGTGCCAAATATTAGACCGATCGGAGCCCATGCAAGGGCGCAGCAGCGCCTCAAACCCAAAATCCTGGAATCGAAAAACAATTATTTTCGTCGACTTTTTCGACTGTTATCACTCTTCCAGCACATGTTTCTTATGTATTTTTTTGCGTACTTTTCGTTTCTGGCCTTTTTAAAGGCCTCCGATAAATTTTAAGGGGCCTTATAGCCCATTGTTGCCATTTTTGGCCCATTTTTAGGGTTTTTTTCCATTTAACACATTCAAAACTCAATTTAATCCAAAAACTGTGTACATTTTTGAAAAGTACGTAAAGAAATGAATAAAAAAGGTTCAGTAAAATTTTTTCCTATGTTGCCAAATTTCCGAGAAAATTGGCCCCAAAGTGTCAAAATCGGCAAAAAATCGATAAATCGCCGCGTCTAAGGTTCAAGAAAGTGGAGTACATTTTTCATACTCTACCAGATAACAGCTCTTATCCATCCATACAACATACTAAAATATCATAGTTGTACCTGGATTCCCACGATGTGAAAATTGACCGAGATGTCGATTTTAGCGGCCTTTTTATACTTGAAGGCAGCTCTTTTGAATGTTTTTCGACCTTAGTCACCCTCTATGGGTGTGTACTATATGTATTTTTCTACGTACTTTTCATATCTGGCCATAAAAATGGCTTCCTGTGAATTTTAAAAGGCCTAACGGTCCATTGTTGCCAATTTTCACCAATTTTTAGGGGTTTTTTCAAGTTTACGTGTGTGAAACTTAATTTAATCTAGAAACCGTGTATAATTTCGGAAAGAACATAAAAAAGTACATAGGAATGTGATTTGTACCTTTTCCCTACGTTGCCAAATTTTCGAGAAAAATCGTCCTGAAGCGTCAAAAATGCCAAAAATTGGATTAAGCATCACGTCGGAGGTTCCAGGAAGTGAATTTCAAGTTTTTTTTCACTACAAATAACGTATCGAAAATGGAAAATTGCAATGCATCTCAAGGAACATGTAATGGCGTAGATGAACCTGACAAAACGGGCCCTCAAGGTGCTTTTACTTTAACCTTCACTCCAGTTCACCTCTTTATTCCTGTAACCTCGAGATAATCCTTGGTTCTCAAGGTGCTTGCTACAGGCCAAATATACCGAAGAACAGAAAATGCGTGGAGAAAGTGTCCCACGATCCACATGAATGTTATAATTCACTTCCTGGAACCTCCGACGTGATGCTTAATCCAATTTTTGGCATTTTTGACGCTTCAGGACGATTTTTCTCGAAAATTTGGCAACGTAGGGAAAAGGTACAAATCACATTCCTATGTACTTTTTTATGTTCTTTCCGAAATTATACACGGTTTCTAGATTAAATTAAGTTTCACACACGTAAACTTGAAAAAACCCCTAAAAATTGGTGAAAATTGGCAACAATGGACCGTTAGGCCTTTTAAAATTCACAGGAAGCCATTTTTATGGCCAGATATGAAAAGTACGTAGAAAAATACATATAGTACACACCCATAGAGGGTGACTAAGGTCGAAAAACATTCAAAAGAGCTGCCTTCAAGTATAAAAAGGCCGCTAAAATCGACATCTCGGTCAATTTTCACATCGTGGGAATCCAGGTACAACTATGATATTTTAGTATGTTGTATGGATGGATAAGAGCTGTTATCTGGTAGAGTATGAAAAATGTACTCCACTTTCTTGAACCTTAGACGCGGCGATTTATCGATTTTTTGCCGATTTTGACACTTTGGGGCCAATTTTCTCGGAAATTTGGCAACATAGGAAAAAATTTTACTGAACCTTTTTTATTCATTTCTTTACGTACTTTTCAAAAATGTACACAGTTTTTGGATTAAATTGAGTTTTGAATGTGTTAAATGGAAAAAAACCCTAAAAATGGGCCAAAAATGGCAACAATGGGCTATAAGGCCCCTTAAAATTTATCGGAGGCCTTTAAAAAGGCCAGAAACGAAAAGTACGCAAAAAAATACATAAGAAACATGTGCTGGAAGAGTGATAACAGTCGAAAAAGTCGACGAAAATAATTGTTTTTCGATTCCAGGATTTTGGGTTTGAGGCGCTGCTGCGCCCTTGCATGGGCTCCGATCGGTCTAATATTTGGCACAGAGTCTACCTAAGACTAGTACTTTGAAAATATGAAACATTTAGCAAAATCCAGGTGGGGCCGGAAAAGGCCCAAAACGCAACTCCTCCTTTGCAAGGTTGATTGTACATTAGGTTTAGAGTTTTTTAAGTGTCTCTCGAGGCAAACTTGGTTGCCAAAAACGAAGAAAAAGTGTCTGCAGACTTAGATAATTTAAAAATGCGCCATGCAAATTGTTCATAAAGATGGGAATTTCAGAATTTGTATACTTGCTAAGCATGATTTCTAAACCACTCTACCCCTGCTAAGTTTTTTCATCTTTATCTATCAGGTGGAACAGCCTCATCCTTCCGAAGTTATCTCGGCATTCAAGTAGTTTGCAGTAGCAATTCAATACTTACACTTTACTGCGATACACAGTGGTAGTAAAGAGTAGACAATTTCAATGACTGTGACTACATGATATGAGCAATAGAATAACATTCTATATGATATAATTCAGTGCCTACAAAGTTATTACAATACAAAAACAAAATCTGTTTGAGGATCAACTCTCTGCTTGTATTCTGAGGAGGCCAATTTCCAACTTTACCATAAAATCATCAGGCTCCTTCTCCTGCGGAGCGGAGGCCTTCTTGTATCTGGACTTGCTCTTTTTCTTCTTCTTAGTTTCTCCTTGAACAATTTTCTTCATATCAAAATGATGTTTGTTGTCATCAGCCCCTTCATCCATGAGAAGCAATTCCAACTCTGCCTGTAACAGTAAAAAAAAAAAAACAATTAATTAAATACAGGACATACGTTTTACTGGAAACACTCTTCCAGAATCTGACAGATAACAGAGGTAAATTTTTGGGCAAATCTTAAAAAATGATAGTTTTTATTTTTATAAACTTTGTGATTGGCATATGAAATTTATGACCCTCAAAAAGCTCTTAGCCCAATAAATTAAAGACAAATTAAAACAACAATAATCCAGAAAATGATGCTACGATTGAGAGTTGACATTCCAAACCTCGAACTCACGGTCTGTACTGTTACATGATTCTTTACACGGAAAAAAAGATTTCAAAAAAACTACTGACAAAAATTCGATCAAATTAACAATTTCTTTACATTATTTTCTCGTTCTTCATCCTCATTTGCTTTGCTTTTAGCAATGTCTTCTTTTTTCTTGGACTTTTTCTTCTTGGGCATTTCACTCTGGAAAAATGGGTCATTTGTATCCACATCGGACGGAAGCTCATCATCAGAGAATGGAATATCACTGCCTGATTCCTGAAAACAAAAAATTGGAAAACCTGTGAGAGGGATGAAAATATTTTTCTGAGGTATTTTTTTACATGAATTCCGATTTTCCGAACTGCGATCACTTGCCAAAAAATCAAAATAAGTTTATTTTAGACTTGTTTCCATTTACTTTGGCTGTACTTCATGTTTTTACCACTCAACATAAACCTCTACTGTACGTCAAGGATCTACCGCGATAATTTAAAATCATGGAGGAAATAGTTGATACATTAGTTTTTTATTTTTCCGAGGTAAGGAACGCAGTCGTAAACTGCACTTTCACAGCATGATCTCTTTAGTAAAATTTGAAACATTGGCATCCAGCTACAAAGAAGAAAGTAAGGTTTTAGCTTATAAAGGCCTTCCCTTTGAAAAAAACCATTGGAGTAATAAATAAAAAAAGATTTTCCTCTGCCTCTGGAAATAAGTATCAATATATGAGTAATCCTTCAACCTGTGTTAGTTATCTTTATTGGAGAGGAAAATAAGCCCGCACACAAACTGCTGACATTTTATCTTTGTTGGTAGGACACAATAAGACTACTCTGAAATGGTCACATCCAATCAATTTGTTGTAAGAACCAATCTTCATTTCCATGATTTTATGAAGCCAACAGGCTGAAGGCTGCCTTTCCCCCAGAAGGCTACAAATGGCCTACAGAACAGATTCAGCTTGCCTGCAGATCAAGATTCAACACCAACTTGGTTTGGAGCCTTGATACAAATTAAGAAGGTAGTAATGTTAGAAAAATATTGTATCTTTCTTTGTACCATTAAGAAGAGTTAAACTATCTTGGTTTTCTTTAACAATGCTTACGAACATTCATAGACATACACAAACGCAGCACACAAACAAAAAAAGTTGATTTAATTTTACAAAAACATAAGTATCCTCTGTGAAATCAAGTCACACTTACCTCATTAATATTTTCTTTCTTTTGAGTTCTCTCCTCTTTCTTTAAACGCCTCTTTTCTCTCTTCTTCTCCACCAGTTGTTGGAAAGGTGTGAGCTTTGTTTTGGCCTTTTTGTCTACCATTTCTTTTGCTTTGTCTTTTAGTCCAACTCCCCAGGAGATCTGAAGAATAAAGTTGCAGTTGTCAGAGGATAAAAAGGTTTATGGTTTTTTTTTTTTTTTTTTTTTTTTTTTTTTTTAAATAATTTTTCTTTTAACTACTTACTTAGGTTTTTCTATGCTACAATTCACAATTCAACATCAATATTTTGGTTAAAATAAAGTGATACAAATTTTTAAAGGAGGATAAAAGAGAAGGTTACAGTTAGGAATTTCTTGGCCCATTTAGAACAAAAATTTCAGAAGCTCTAATAGATTTAAGCAGTGGAGCTTAGGGGAGCTTTATCAAGCATTTTCAGGAATTTTTCTTATATGGTTTGTTCAACTTTAAAATTTTATACTTTCTTGTTTTCAGGTTCTGGTTAAAGCAAACGTTAGTCCCTTTGGATTTCTTTTCTCATTTTGTTTTTCTACTTTGTTGTTTTTGTCCTGATCTTGCTTTAGTTGGTCTTCTTGTGTTCATTTTTTGGCGTTTCTTTATGTTGTAATTCAATTTTGTATATATTGTGTAAGTAAGTAAAGAAATTATTGAAAAATGGACAATAATTAGGTATGAGGGAGAAACAGCTTTAAAGGCAGATTTCAAATTGTATACACTCAAAAATGACTGATAAAGTTCATTGACTACAGAAAAAAAATCTGCATTTCATGATCAAAGTATGACCCTGCATATGGAAATGAAAGATTAGAAAATGCAAAATGCCATTTTACCCACCTCCATCTCAACATCATTTTTCTTCTGTTCTTCCTCTTCCTCTATCATCTTGATCAGGTTTCGATAACGAGCTATGGACTCAGCTTTTGAGACAGTTGTCTCTGCTACTGATACATGATCATTATCTGATCCGGCTGACTCAATGCCTTCATCATCTTCATCCGAGGAAGTAGCTAATACATTATGGATTTCGTCATCACTGATATCACCCCCTTTTTGAGCCGCCTCTGTCACTTTTTGCATGACTTCACTTCGATGTGGGTCTGTTTCATCCCAAGTTAAGGTTACTTTCGATTGCTGCAGAGCTGTTGTGGTGAAATATCTGGGCTTGTATTTGCCTTTTTCTGGAAGACTTGTGCACACTTCTTTCGGCTCCTAGAGGAAACAAAAAATAAGAGTTCATCAATCTTGAGCTGTGGACATTTTTATAATGGTAAAACTTTTTTCTAACAATCTTTCTAAGGGGTTAGGTGAAGTTAATAAGATGTAAACTTGAGGAGGTAAAGTGGATGAAAAAAATGTATTTCATCTGGCCAGCCCAAAAATGCATTTTCTTTCAAAATTGCATCATCACTCGAGGCAAGCTGCCCCTACAATGCTCCAGAAGTATGTAAAAATTGATAAAAAAAGTGGATAATGATGACATTTTCCCCAAAACTATGTGAAGAACTAAATGAGATTACTCAGCAGTAATTATGTTCTTAAAATTATACCAGTGCAATTATTGTCAGAAAAGGAATAGAAAGAAAAAAAAGCTCTTTACCTGATCAAAGGTTGTTTCATCTGGGATGAATCGCAGATCGAGTCTGGCAGAGGATGTTTCGAACTCCATTCCATCACACTCTGTGTAAACTTTGTTTGCCGTTTCGGCAGAGTCAAAGACAATAACCGCATAGTAGTACTTCAGCCTGTTGATCTGATACTGTCTCAATCGCTCCATGTGAAATTTTTTTCCTTCTTGATTGTCATCAGAATCTCCTGAGTCCGAATTATTATTATCATCATCATTAGTTTGACTTCCATCATCATCTGAATGGCCATCACTTTCACTATTCATGTCCTCATCATTTTCGCTAGAAGTCTGGCTTACTTCTTCAAGGGAAGAATCAGCATCCAAACCAACTTTACTGGTGTTTTCTTTATCCAAGAAACCGGGATCAGTTTTTTTGTCACCGACAAGTTCTGGAGGTCCTATCAGTTCCTCTTCTTGCATTCTTTTCAATCCGAATTCAGATGGATAAATGGTTACAGATTGGATGACACCTTTATTGGGTAAAAAGGAATTGAACAAAACCATCAGGTCTACTGCTCTGATTCGATCCCAATCCATGTGGCAGGCAGCAAGTCGATGAGTGATCTCATCAGTTCTTTCTGCATCTCTGTCTAATTCTCCCCAAGCATGTTCAATATCTGGCTCATCATTTTCAGAGGATTCCTCATCTGAAGAACTATCAGATAGAAGAGTTGACTCACCACGAGCGTAGTCAACAGACATATTTTTTAGGCGTTGACGAATTTTGCTTGACATATTTTTTTCATCAAACTCGTCATCTTCACACTTTTGATCAATATCAATACTTTCGTCTAAATTGTCCATTTTAACACTATTCTCATCATCAGATTCTGTTGCCGCATTGAGCCTAGGTGTGATATCCTTTTTCTTCTTCTGATTTACACTTTTTTTTACTTTGACCATCTTGGAAGTCGAAGGTGCCTCAGGATCATCACCATCAGACTCTTCTGAGGAGATTTCATAATACTTACGGAAATCATCTCCAGAAGATTTCTGGAGAGGTCTTCCTCTCTTATCGACTGAGTAATTAACAGTGAAACGTTCATCAGTAAACATGGACTGGAAACGTTTATCAATCTTGATTTTCCTCTCATACTTGGGGATTCTACGAAATTTGGGATCTTGTGCTACATGAGCAAAACGATCATCCTTTTCTGAGTTGTCCATCATTAATTGAATGGTAGAAGCAACAATTCAAATTCCTGAAAAAGACAAAAAAAAAATACTGAATCATTTAAAGATAGATAAAAAGTACAACAAGTTCAACATTCAAATTTTGAGCAGCTAAATTGGAATGGGGAGGGCAAAGCGTTTGCGTCTAAAAAATCGACAGATGAATGCTAGTGGCAATTGTCAAAATCTTGAGTGTGATGGTGACATTAAAAGTCAAAAAAATTTCCCAATCCAGTTGGTGTGCATAAGGAGGGAACGATTTGAGTCAAATTATTCTCCATATTGTACCTACGGTCAAATGTGCGGTAGCTTTTACCAACACTTCTCTTACCTACTCAAAATTTCCCGACCAGTAAGTCATATGATAAAAGCAAACACAAAACCTGTCACAAGGCATTTGCGTGATGATGCTTGCAGACAGGCTTGCAGCTCAAAGAGGGCGCATGGAGCGGCACGCTGAAGGGCCTGATGAGCAATTCAGCATGCCATGTGAACGCACCTTGAATGACCCTTTCAGATAATCCATTGGGCTTCAAGAGGGGCCTCTCCACGAATGTTTCGATCAAGAAGGAGAGGAGTAAGATAAGAGGGTCCTACTGAAGCCAGGAGAAAAGCCCATCTGAAAACAAAGCTGTGTGACAGCTCCTGTGTGCGACAACAACCGCAGACACACTAGGCAAGTTTGGCAAAATGTACTCACGATTAATGTTCCAATAAATGTACCTTTGGTAGAACGACTTAGTAGATAGAATGTGAAAATTCGATTTTTCTGATCTTGTGGGAAGCCGTGTGGAATTGATGATAAGGCAAAGCAAGGAGTATGAAGCACGAGCAAATCATAACCTTACACCTATCCTTTTAAAAATTCCCTCGTGCTCAACATTTGACGGAAAAGATTAACTTATAGGAAAACTTTTCGTAAACTTCATGCAGTTAACAGAATAATGTGATTGAAAGATTAAAGATGTAGAGCTAAAACCAAAATTCAGTTACTGAACATAATTCATATTTCACTTAAACTTAACCTAAAAATCAGAATGACAAATATTTACCCATGCGGTCATCGCGTTCGTCATTCGTCGTGGCCAGTCGTGACGTAGAGAAGTGTATATCGACTCATTAGCCAATGAAAAGGAAGGAATCACGCCAATATGACTCAAGACCTGAAAAAGTGGGCGCCCCTGGCGCCCTACGGCGCCCCCTCCCCCAAGATGGAATTGGCGCCCCAAAATATGACAGTCGTTGTTTCTTCTCAATCTGTTATCACTGTTTTCTAATTTCTTCGTCCATATTTTTGTTTACTATTACGCGAAACGCGAATGCGTCTTGTCAGACGCCCTTTCAGCTTCAGCCATCGCCTCAACTCCTAGCCATACGAATCAGTGAAGTACTAAAGTGCAGTTATTTTTTCCTGTTTTTATCGGCTCCCGATGATCTTGTCACTTTTCTTTCGTTTACCTTGAGACCAGTTTTTATGAGCTATCACAAGGAATTGCTCTTAATGTGTGTGTTGAATTCGAGTCAATGGAGAAGAACGAAATGACTCCGAAACGGCGGAGACGTAGTCATACTGATCAGCTCCAACGCAAGAATGTTATTTGATAACCAGCATTTGCTTCATAAGAAATTCCGTTTTTATTTCTGCCCACAGTCCAGTGAAGATTCTTAAGGCATGTATTGGTATTTTCCTTTTCTCATTCTGCTGAAAACAGTGCGGACTCAAGTGAAATTACTGTCACATCAGTCACTGGGTATCACACTTGTTGCTATTTTACGGTAGAGTTTGTAAGATAAATGTTTTCATGCTGGCAGAATATGGTCTTTATAAATCCATGATATTGGTAGGGGAATGGATTTTTCAGACCATGTTAAATGTCTCCACTTGCGTTTAATTTTGAAAGGAATATCAACCAACACTTCCTGTTAAAATTTTCCTTCAATCATTCCAATAAAACCAAATAAAACTGCCAAAAGACATTTTGATCAGTTTCCCCCGGAGGAAATGAGACTCAGTTGGGGATTTGAAAATGGTTCAGTCTAGTTAGAGGTGTCGTCAGCTAAGTTGACGGTTGTTTACTTTTGGTTTGCAAGTATTTTTGCATCACCACTCCACATGAAAGCATCTGACTCTCAGAAGCAAGAACACAAGCTTAGATAAGTTTTTTAATACTTTCGAACCTTTTAACACCTTAATTTGTAGCCACACAGAAATCGCAACCACATTAAAGTTGCAAATCATAATGGATAAGTATTTTTGATGATACCTACAATCATGAGACTGATGGTTTCAAGGTAGATAGTAGCGAACGCCGCATTGCATAGAGGCCCAAATTCGTCGTTGGCACTTGTTGGTGCTAGCAAACCGAAAGTAAATGATTTGCAATTTATCTGCCGTCACCTTTAATTATGAAACCCCAAGTCAGTCAGCAAACAAATCCATCTTTTTTGGACTACAATATTTTCAGACATCTTGAACATGATATGTTTCTGTTGTTACAGATGAGCTTTGGCAAGAAACTTGGGTGGCTTGGGCTTACAGCAGCTCTCTGCGTATCCACGTTTGGAGCCTTCTACTGCTTTTTAGTCCTTTTAGGAGCTATTCTTTTTGTTGTTGGGTAAGATCTGTTCAGTTTTTCTGAGAAGCTGAAGTAAAGAATTCAAGCTGTTGCAAAATTTTATCGGACAGTTTTCTTCTTCACATAAGATAACTATACAGGTTTCTTGAAAATATCAGAGAGTACGCCTCGTACCATTGTGGAGATCCCTTAAACTTTCTAAGTGCATTAGTACAACCATCCTTTCATAAAAAATTAAATTTTTCAATGAAATTGGGCAACGTTCAGCTTGTCACATTACATATGCAACTTGAATTTGCTTCTTCCCAAATTACCACATTCGAGTCTTAAAAATTTAAATATCTCTGAGGATAAAATCATGCAAGTCCTATAAAACATATCAGCGGTTTTCAAACTATTAAATGAAAGTTCAGGTGTAGGTAGGTATGATTCTTAATTGCTTAATTTTTTCTCCTTAATTTTTCCTTACTCTTTTGAACCGGGTTGGTTCTTTTTCATTTTAATTCTGATTTTTGTTTTCGTTACAAAAAGTGTTTACAAAAAAAAACAGAATGTACTCAGTGCTTTAACTTAGTCTTCGTATATTTTTTAATCCTTTTTTTCGGTTGAGTTTTAATACACCTATTTTATTTTTAGTGCTCTTGGGATGACTTATATATTCGTAGAAGAAAAGATGGACTCCTACTCAAAACGGCAATATAGTACCTCCTATTCTTCTAATGGTGCATTGTTTCCAATTGAAGGCTGTGATCAAGTGAGTATGCCTTTTCCAGGGTTCATTTTTCCTCAAAGTGTTTTTTTTTTGTGTCTTTAAGTATTTTTTTTTTTTTTTTTTTTTTTTTTTTTTTTTTTTTTTTTCCTTTTACAAAATAGGAATAAGTACCCATTCATTAAGAGTGATAAAGCACAAACATATAGCCCGAATATACAAATAAAGAAGGAGAGAATTAAAACATGGGTAAACAAGGCTAAAACATTAAAAAAACTATAAGGCAGAATGTTTCGAGCTGTTACAAGCTCATTTTCAGCTGCAAAAAAACACAAAAAACAAGTGAAAAATTGAGTGGCAACCTGACCCCAGCCGTCATCACGTAACCACTCTGAGAGTGGTTGGAGTGAGTGGTGGTCTTTGAGAGAGGTCGCCACTCAATTTTTTACTTGTTTTTTGTGTTTATTTGCAGCTGAAAATGAGCTGGTAACAGTTCAAAACATCCTGCCTTTTCGTGTTTTTAATGTTTTAGCCTTTTTTACCCATGTTTTAATTCTCTCCTTCTTTATTAATTAAGAGCCATACCTATAAGAACAGAACGGACAACCAGACGAGGTATAAACTCAAGAATCCTGATGTGTGCTTCCTCTTCTCTATTTCATGTAGCACCCAATTCCTGGGATAAAAATATCTATTATTAACGTTTGATTGTTTTTTGATGCATAGATTCAAACTCCTTGCTCATATAAAAACCATTATCTACTTGAGTTAAATTGCACACTAAATGTTACTAAGACAGTCTCTACTAAAAATACAGCAACCTCAATCTTTGACTTAACTGTTGTACTTGGAACAACTCTGGGCAGGGAAGGAACACTACATGATTACAAAGCCTGCCGAAACCATTGTATTGTGGGATTTGATTTACGTACATTCTGATTTCTCTTGTATGCAGGAAATTTAAATTGTTCACAATTACTGCTGGATAAAAGCATCAATAACTTGGTTGGGAATTACTGTCATTAATGTTAGCTTCCAAAATCAGGTTCTACTTTAAACTTGAAGATAAAAAGTGTGTCATCATGCCTAAATTCGGATCTTGTCCAGTTGTTTAGTATATATTTGATAGTTTCGATGTCTCCAAACCGCCAATTTAAAAGTCCTCCATCTTAAATACACCATTGTATACTGATATAAATTACTATAAAGGGATCAACCTTACCACTTCATAGTTCATTGTTCTTATCATAATTCATTTATTTTATCTCTAGGAATTATTAGAATCTTTCAAGAAAAAATCACCCAGGCGATCGAACAAACCAATCACAGGGCAGTTTGTAATTGACAAGGAACTAGATGATATCATCAGTCTTGTTATGCGTGATTATGTCCATTCATGGTATGATAACATTAGCACAGACTCAGAGTTCCCTGCAGCACTGCGTCTATGTATCAACAGGTTAGTAGGATTCTGATAAGTTGATGGCCACTGTTTTTCTGGAATAAAAGTTATGATGTCATTGCCATGGAAAATCATTTTCTCTGAAATAAGCAGTGTGTGAGGGTTAATAATTAGCCACAAAATTTTCATGGAGAGCGTGGTAGCATGTCTTTTTTTGTACCTCACTCTGCTAGTGATCTTGTAAGTGTTGATCGGGACATTACTAACAACCAAACTGAAATGCCTGCAAGCAAGGCCCTCTGTGTCACAACAGAAATTAAACTTTCTTGTACGCTGGTGACACCTTAGTGGAGGCCAATGATTACTTCTATGGTAGTTACTTTTTGAACGTTACTATTAGTTTTCTGGCTTTTGATTTTCAAGAATGGGAACTTTATCTTGGGGAGCTCTCTACTCAACTAATAGAAAGCTATCTGTAGCCTCAGGACATGGCTCTTTGATCAAAAAGGGCTTTGAAACAGCTGGAATTATGAACAGAGTATTCGATATAAAATTAGCTTTACAACAATCTCTAGAACTGCAATGCTTATCATAAGTGTAAGGCATTATATTCCATGATCATTGAGGACGAGTTGGTTTCCAGAAACTGCTATATAATTTCTTTTGCATTCTTTATTTCTTTATTCCTTTTTAATTCCTTTTGAAATGTGGGTAAAATTTTTTCAGCGTTATTTTAATGTCAAGAGGCATTTTTGGTGTCCTAGCCAAAATCCACCTTGTTGCAAAAAAAAATGTTATTCACTCTACCCCAAGGTACCTTTTCCTGTGGCGTAGAGCTATTCTAATTTTACTTTTTAAGTGAAACCTAGCTCAAATGATTCTTCAAGATTTATAGAATCAATCTCTCAAAATTTTCAACCCAAAATCACTTATTGGCTCCCCCTACCATTTTATTAAGATCACTTTCACCAAGTGTGTTGCATATAATGATAATTGATCATCTAATTGTCAGCGTTTCATATTTAAAGGACTTTAACAAGAATTGCCAGTCGAGTAAGTGAGATCGATTGGACACCGTACTTCACAGCTCGTCTTGTTGATGATGCTGCATCTCACCTGCGACTTTTTCGTCAAGCCAGAACAAAAATGAAAACAAAGTATCATGACACATGTAAGTGTCCAGAGTTGGAGTCAATTTTTTTTGATCTTGAACTGATGATGGAACAGAACCAAGTTTGTCGGGATCATATTTGTTTGGATGAACAAAGTGAAAAAGGTAATTTTCAGTTTATTAATATGTATGTTACGGTCAATGTTAGGGGGCCGGCCGATGCTGTCACTGACCGGCCAATGATAGCATCGGCCGAAATCGAGGGCCATTGACATGATTGGCCGGCCAATCATGTCAACATTTTCACCCTGTGGTAAACAATGGCCGGCCGATGATGACAGTGGCCAATGATTGACGGCCATTGTTCGTTCACATTATAAAACACCGTAAAACTGAAAACATACCACATGAGAGGAAACAAATGAGTGAATGTGTAATTACTACAGCTGTTTGATTTATTTTTTAGAGGGTTTTTTTTTATTTATTTTACATTTCTTTCGACTTTAAAAATTGGAGCTTTTTTTTTTCGTTTTTTTTTTTTTTTTTTTATCCCACAGCTGTAATAATTATTTCAAGAAGCAACGTTGAGTTTTAATTTTTGAGACATATCATCACCCGGCAATGCAGGATACACGGTGACGCGGTTGCCGCTTGGTCACTCAACTCTCTCACGTTCAATTGATAAATGATAACAGATCCAACATTGGCCGTCACCCCTCGGCCAAACAGTACATTGGCCGGCCAGTGACATCAGCGGCCGGTCAATATGTGACGGTTTTATTGTTAAGAAAACATTTCCCAAAATTGCTGGCCATTGACGTCATTGGCCGGCCAATGACATCTTCGGCCGAAACGCCCGGCCACGGTCAACATTGGCCGGCCAATGACATACACTTCCCCATTCCCTCACATTGACCGTAACATGTATACTACTCTGGCTTATAAAATGTTGAAACTGGAAAAGCAAGAAAATTTTGACTCTTTGCGTTTGTTTTACAAGTAATTTTGACTTCTTAGCTCCATTAGTTGCTTTGTCTTAGTGATCAAACTTGGTCAGTTCAATCCCAAATATCCTTAATTTTATGGTGGCAATAATTGATTTTTGTTTTCATTCAAATTTTATGCATTAAATTTTTGGGACTTCTCCATTTTAACACTCAGCACTATCTAATAAAGTGACTCACCTCAAAGCAGAAGCTAATTTCAGATTCTCTAAAACCTCATATTTTTAAGCGCTCGAAGGAAACCAGCCATGCAACATGGGTTACAATGTTTAGTGTTATGTTTCCTCCTCATGCATGAATCAGTCTCCCTTTATTTATTTAAAGCGTGTAATGTCCTCAATTTAATATAGTTTAATTTTTTAAGTAATGAATCAATAGTAATCTGTTTTTATCTGAATACATAGTTCAGAGAAAAACATAATTTAAATTGCATGAACTGTGGAGTTTGATTTGGAAATTCTTTATTCCAGGCTACCTACAACAGGTGTCTGAGAAAATATTAGAGCTGTTTGCTCCTGAAGAGGATTATAATTGTCAGACCGTCAGGTTACTGACCCGAGAAATTCTAGTCAATGCTGTGTTATTACCGTTAGTTTCAAAACTATCTGACCCAGATTTCATCAATCAAATAGTTGTATTTGTGGTAAGTTCTGTTCAATTCCTCTTTTCATTTTACTTATCTTACCTTGAGGGACCTTAATAAATGATATCATCGAACTATGATTAATACTCGTTGAAACAACCTGAAAACTTTTGTGCCCACAAGGTAATACAGCACAAGCTCAATTTACTGGTTTTGTCCTTAACCGCCAAAAAATCCGGTGAATCAAGCAATCCACTAAAGTGGAAAGTCAGCTTTTTCACTGCAGGGGCACTGAATTTGAAGTCCAACACTTTTTTTTATAAGTTTTGGAGTAGGAAAAGGCTAATTAGCTGACATCTGTAACTGCCAATTTTTTTCCCCAATATTCATGTCTTTCCCACACGAACAATGTTAAACAAGAAAATGTTGACCCTAGCTGAATTCCCCCCTTGGTAATCTGAAATTTTCGACCCTGATGCCAGACAGTAAATCTCCATTCAGGGATGTCATTTTCTTTCATCCGTTTCTATCATTTTCTTTTTCAGTGCAAGCGGTTTCCTGTATCTAGTGATAATTTTCTAACAATTCTACGCACCACAGATAACATTGATGAACTGCATGCTACGAAAGAGATGCTTACCAAGGAGATTGCAGATCTGGTAAATTTTTTCATTTTTCAATGATTTAATTATCCTCATCAATTTACAGGTGTACACTTTATGTTGATTTATTTTTTACCATTTTTTGTATATTTTAGTTCCTATATTCTATATCAATTGGTTTCAAATTGGTGGTTTATGTATTTTGTTTATTTTTAAGTTAATTAAGCTCTATGTCGGTAGTGCTCTGGTATACATACAATCAACATGGTTTCCTTTTTTTGTTTTCCATGAAGATAGTCGCTGCTAGTCTCTAGCAGCTACGAAGCTCTCATTAAGTTTAAACATATAAACATGTATTGCAGTGCTTAATTTCTTACAGTTCAGTTCAGTTGTCCTTTGATCCTGTAGTTGCCAGATAGTGGAATTATGTTTAATGGTGATGCTATTAAGTGCTGCACAGCAATCATATCAAAGGATACTACCTAAAGTTATGTATCTTCTAAAGTAGAAATGGTAATTCAATCGACTGTTTCTTTTGTCCAAGAAATCTTGCGAAGCTGATGGAGAGGCTGGTTATGTGTTGAGAAACGTATTGAACAACTTGATGTACAGAGATCGCACTATTGATGAAAGAGTGTCTCAGTTACAGAAAGAGCAACTGTGCGTTCCAGGTAATGAATGCTTAGTCATAAGTTCATGTAATATGGTCAGAAACTTTTTCTATAACGTTGGAAGTGGTTATTTGCCTGACCAGACGTGACAGCAATGTAGAGCCTTTGAGTGAGCACTATGTTTGGGCTACATTTTGCGATCAGAAACTGCAATATTTGGCTCATCCATGAAAACACTTATGTGCATAGGGAAAATAATGGTAAATATGTTGTTTCGAAACCGAGCCAGAAATTATATTTGTTAAGTGCAAAATGTAGTCTTATTTCTAATTTATCTATCAGAATACTAAGCAACATGCTGGCTTAAAATCCTAAGCATTTGTTTAATAATGTGATGGAGGCACAAAAGGAGTTTCAAGGTGCCACTTTTTTTAGTTTTCATCTGAAAAAGATTAAAGTAAAACCTTGATTTAACGCCTTTCAGCAGATCCGCAAAAATCTTAGTTGTATCAAAACATGTTTTAAAAACATTCAAATCGGAGGGGTCCGATCAAAAGTTTGGACGGTGGGAGCCCTTGGGGGAGAGAAAGCTAGGAGAGAGGGTAATGAAGCATTTCATCCTAGTCTGAGGATCATAAAGGGTCCCAAAAATGCAACTCACCTCAGGAGGATTACTTTAGGAACAATTTGTTTTAAGTGCGTCATTTGTTACTCAGAATACTATGACTTCATCCAAATTTCCTTTTGCCCTCATTCTCGAGGTTTCAGTTCATGGTGAGAATAGTATCTTGTTCTTATTAGAGACCCATCATCTGATTTCTAACAAAAATTAACATAATATCCTAAACTTAATTACTGTTTTTTTGTTTCCTTTAAATCAGAGTTACCCTCCTCACATTCCGAGGTTCCAAAACTAAGTGCCAACCCACGGATGTTTTCGTTACCATTAGATGTTATTTTAAAAAATAATGTTGCGCTCACATATTTCATCGACTACATGTCATCGATTGGAGCAGGCTCTTATCTTTTCTTCCTGTTAAACATTGAAGGTAACCCTCTTTTTCATTTTTTTTTATCATCTCTTGTCCTATTCACCGTTTTTGTGAACATGTTTTCAAAGCATGAAGCATCCAATATTCTGAAACCAAATCCCAGTAACTCTATATTGTTTCTTAATTTAAAAAAAAATTGGATGAGCCTCTCACAAGAAAAATTTTTACATTCAAGAATATAAGCAGACGCCCCTATATTTTGGCAGAAACTGATTACTTAAATAATTCTATGCCACAGAAATATTAAAAAATGACAGAGAATTTTCCACTTACATAAGGTCACTATGTGAGGCATTTGTTCTCAGAATCTAACCTAATAATGCAAGGGTTCAAGCAGTTTAATATGCTTGTTTTGGGTGCTGTGTTATTCATTTACACTTTTGATTCCTGAAGCTTGGCAACCCTCTCATCACTTGATTGGATTGTACACAAGGCAAAAGATATTAGGTTTGCTTTCACTCTGATGCACTAATTTGGTGTACTTTCCACACCAATAAATTCAGTCAAAATCCATGGTCAAGAGTGGAAGCTGAGAGAAGTAGATGAGATAAGTGGAGTGCTTCTATTCAAGATGATCCTTAAACTCATATTCCAAAATCATGAAGGTCTGTATGCTCATTATTTTCATGCCTCCTCCTGTTGGGATCACCAAGTTTTCGTAACTTCAGTAAAATTAAAGCCCTTAGACCTGTCAAGCTCTTTAATGAAGTAGATAAGTTCTGCAACCTTCTTCTAACAATTAGTCCACTTGTTAGGTTGGCGCACTTCGGCAGAGCAGCAGCTGTCCGACATAAAACTTATCAAGATGGTGCAACTAAATAATGCTGAGATTGGACAAGACTTGAGTGGCACAGAGGCAACATCTGATCTCAAATCTGAGACCGTATCACAAGATGAAGAGCAAATTTGCAATCATATAAGAGAAGCTGCCTCCAGCATATTCACTCAGTTTCTCTCAGAAAGTGTAAGTTCCCTGTTACTGTAATTACTGAAAAGGTTGCAGTGTTTGAAAAAACTGAAGTTGTTTAAAAACCACAGCTCCATACCAATTAACCATTTGTAAAGGTCAACTTTTCCCAGTAGGGGAAAAGCCGCCTCATGGGACTTGAGTCCCGGAAGGGTGAAGAGTGAAACAGCGAAAAGAGAACACACGGAGTTGGAAGGAACCCAACTCAACCGCCCAACCTCCACACGAGATCACACACTATCACTACGTACTAAAACTAGGGGTAAAACGATAATTCAGCCGCGAAGGGCTGATTTCAAAAAGGACTTACATCACGAGACGCGGTTTCCAAGACGAGGTCAAGACGAGAATGGCGTAAGGCCAGACTTGTGTTTTTGGGTTCCTGCGCCTGCGCGCTGTTGGCGGAGGAAACCGGAAATAGCAAGTTTCAAAACTTTGACGGAAGGGCTACTGACTCTTTACACACTGATGTCGATACCCTGAAATCGGTTGCAAAATGGAAACAGTGCTTTCAACTTTATTTGAAGATTACGGAAGACTATTTTTGACTTGAACATTCTTTAGTATTTGGATCAAAAGACTGAAATTTCTATTTCTCCCAAAGAATCCACCTAATGGTTAGAATTAGAAATATATGCCCTGAAGGCACTGTACCAAAGCTGAAGTTTCCACCTTAAACTGTGGCCAGCAGCCACACGCATGTTAGAGCTATTTTATTGGGATGTTAACATATTTAACACGAGTTTTTAACATTCGAGGCTAGTGACGCACTACTGTAAAAATGGTGGGAATTACAAATCCAAAATGCAGCTGGTAGTTCAGATGTTTCCTAAGTCAAATTAACTACACTTAATTTCTCTATTCGATTACCATTATGATTAAAAAAATTCATTACGATTGCAATTAACTTTCGTGATTGTACAGTTCCAGGGAAAAGTGCATTTTGTGTAGGAATGGTCAAGTATTTAGATAATCGAATATCTGATATTCGAATTATCGGCACCGAGATAATCGCATCATATTGGAATATTTGCTTCCAAAGTATTTGAAATCGCAAGTTTCGATTTCTCAAATAATCTCAATAATCGCAATGGAAAAGTTTCGAATATTCGAATAATCGCATTCGAATTTGATAACTGTCCATCCCTTGAGTTAGGCAATCTCGTTATTAATTAAAACTCGTCCACAACTTCACACGGGAATGACTGACGGTCTTAGTTAAAAGTGTCATTTATCTCTATCAATAACAGTACCATGTTCCTTGGTTCAAAAAAATAAAAAATCGAAGCAATAATCAAAAATATTCAAATATTGGCTTCCGAAGTTTTAGAAATCGCAAGATTCGATTTCTCAAATATTCGCAATAATCGCAATCGAAAAGTTTCGAATTTTCGAACAATCGCATTCAAATTTGATAATCGTCCATCCCTATATTTGTGTTCATGGCTTTCTTCATCAGGGCATATCAAGTTATATTGTGCTGAGAGATATTGTTTTCCTTCGCTCTAATTTTAATTACAAACCAAAAGTCTGTCATCGCTGTTCCCTTTTACCTCTTCAGCCTCACATCATGGAGCAATACAGTAGAAAATGAGTGTTTTCAATTACTCAATACAGCATTTTAGGTCATTTCGTTCAATTTTTTTACACTTTATCATTCTCATTTGTTTCCATCTCCAGCCAATATTTTTCCTGTCAGTTTGAGACGTCTGAAGAAACGTCTAAGTTTAATTTCATATTTTCATAGTTTCTTGTTTGTTTTGTTGTTGCATTTTTTCAGTTGTCATGGAATTTGTCGTAACTTCTTTGTTTCCTGTTATTATAAAAATTTCATGCAGATTACATTCCAAAGACTAAAATTTATTTGATTAATTTTCAGGCATCTACAAAATTAAAGATTGATCCAGTCTTGGTAGAGCAGTTATGGGCGAAGATTTGCTCACAGCCACCAGACGAAACTTGGTTTGATAATGTGCAAGCAGCAATCTTGAAAGAGCTACAAGTAAGTTTCCTAGGGACATCGAGAGATGACCATTTAAAAAGGCTTATCTTTTTCAAATAGCTTACATTTTATCAATCTTAATGATGTGCAGCCTGAAACCTTTATCAGGATGTACCAAATCTATACATAAAATATTACGGGATGTTGGAGTTTTTTAGCCAAGGTGCGTAAAAAGTTCAGCATAAAGCTGAATAAAATATTACATAAATACATACAACTATTCTGTAAGGAGACAAAAGAAAGAGTCTCAACAGAGTTTTTTACTGGTTGCCAGTTTCACAATGTTGTCCACCTAGCTCAGTTTCCATTTACAAAAACTAGTTTTTGTCTAATAACGCCTAATCTAGAGAATATTATGGCTGGGAAGTCTTTTTCAGTGCGAGGTTAGGAAAGATTTCAAAGACTGAATGGATTTGTGCGCATTGTTGTAGGCCTTGTCGCCACAGGACTAACTTCTTACCATAGCACATTTGTTGTAGCTGGATGTTCAATGATGCACACATTTTTTATGTACATTTGAAGTTAGGATTTAATTTTGGACTTTCCCCATGCACTCATCATGATTTCTCAAAAATTTTTCATCAGAATAAACTCTCCTGTTTGCCCTATCAAAAGTTTGGGACGGACCCATTATAGCTCCAGGTACTTGAGTTGTACTTAATTTCTGTTTTTTAACTATTTTTTCCCCGTGATTTTCAGACTGATGAAAATTACCTGAATGGTTTCCGTGGGAGTCAGTCATACATCAAACTCCTCTCAGACCTTGAGTTATTCCATCATAAGGAAGAAGATCTCCTTTCTTCAGATTCCACCAGTCTTTCGGATAATACAAGTGTTGCCTCTTTGCCATTTGATTCCATCAAAGAATTTGGTAAGTTTTGAGGCCAATATCTTTCTGAAAGATACTCTCAAGTTACTACATTCTGCTCAAAGTGTTCACTTTACTTTTCATATCACAGCAAATTATCCAATCTTCAAAACCAGAAAACACCGTCACTTGAAACTCAGTGCATTTTTCTTGTGTAATGATTGTACCTATAAGGAAATTTTACACCGATTCTGCTTTTGTCAAAACTTGGATGGCTCAGCTCAGTTGGCAAAGAAAGTAATTTTTACCCTAAAAAAAACTAAACAGAAGTTATGTATGCCACCATGTGCAAGCACTATTTTTTGGAAGGAGGAACTTTTATGAAACTTTATAGCAATGCGGTGCTGGGATGTTCTGAACATTCAAAAATATTTATATTCTATTTATTTATATATTTATTCATTAGGGCTGTGCGAATATTCGCAATTCCGACTATCCGCGCCGCGAATATTCGCTTCGTCCGCCTCGCGCACTATTCGCAAATTGCGATTAATCGCGTCGCCGCGAATAGTGAATTTTTGAACTGACATTTCTAAATATTTGCGCCGTCATGAGGAATAAATTTTTCTAATATTCGCGCCATCAAAAATAACGAATTTCCAAGTGGCAATCGTGAAACGTTGCGAGGACCTGCGCAAGGCCTCCTCTTTCACCCAAGACATCGCGAATGGCGGATCTCCTTTGATCTTTACCGACTTTGCCGAGTTTACGAACAGCGAGCGCGATTGCGATTGGGGGAACTAGCAGAAATGTCTGAAAATAGAAAAAAAAAGTTCATAAACACATTTTTATTAACACCGAAAAAAATAAAATACTAAAATGTGTCTAGTGATCCTTCGATACTTGCTTGACTGCCCGTGCAGTAACCTTCAAATCCTGGAAATGCATTCGTAACTGCAGGGACAGTCAAGTCAGCATCCAGGGCTCTTCGAACAAATTCTTCACAGTCTAGGCTACTATCATAGCATTTCATTGTTTTCTGTGCAGGCGTATGAGCAAATGGAAAATTCTTAAAAAATTAATCACATTTTTTTTGTCGACTTTTGTAATATTCGCGAATTTTCACACTTAAAAAAGTCATTTCCAATCATTCGTTTTACTATTCGTAGCTGTGAATAATTGACTTAAATTATTCATTATTCGCTTCGCTATTCGCGAATAGTTGCCGAAATTATTCGCTTTTCGCTTCGTTCGGAAAATTCACTATTCGCACAGCCCTATTATTCATTTATGTTTTTATCCATCTACAAACGGGCTGTACAGCCCTTACAAATAAATAAATGCAAATTCAAGAATCGAAACATTGCCATGACAGGAGTAAAGGGGAATTTTTAAAAGAGTGGCAAGAACATTTTGAAACAAGCAGTAACAACAATGAAACTGACGCACGTGATGAGAAGAAACACTTGATTTGATAGAAGTAGGGACTTGATAGTAAAATGAGTCTTAGTTAAAAGGAAGGATTAGGCCCTTTAAATGTTTTTTAAAAAATGTACATTGACATGATTCACCGCAGCTAGACGGTATAATGGATTCCAAGATCTTTTGCAATAAACTAAAACAGAACTAAATTTTAATTTCTATTTAAAAATGCAGGGTCACCAGGGAGGAAGTCTTTCAATGTAAACGTGTCAAATAATTGTAAAGTAATTTTTATTTTTCAGGGCCAGATGACTTCTTGATGGTTCAGTCAGACGATTCATTGAGTACAAGTTCAGTTCCTTCTAGAATCAATCGTAGTGCAGATTTTATTTTACAAGCAGAAATTGTGGAGACTGGTGTTGCACAAGGGAAAGGGAAAACGTTTGGTATCTACGATGTCTCTGTGGTGAAATGTTACCAGACTATTGGCGAGCAGGAAAATTGGCACGTTTTCAGGAGATACTCAGATTTTTATGAACTTCATAAAAAAGTCACCAGCAATGTAAGTGTTGTTTGTTCATCAATTTTTCTTTATCATTATATCTGAGTGAAAGCTATACTTATTCTTATCTGCGAAGGGCCAAAATGGAAAAGGGATATCTAAATCTGTGCTCATTGAGCACACAGTTTGAAAAAAAAAAGAAAAAGAGAAGAAAAAGCAAACAAATGAACAATGCTGAGCATCTAATGAGTAATACTAGTGTATTTTTTAAGGTTAATTATCGTTTACGGCATACATGAGAATATTCCTTGCTGTTTCTGATAATGAGATGTTTGCAATCATTTAATTGAAACTGTTCATTTATCACCATATTACTCCATTCCATTGCTTTGCCGCCAAAAAGTTGGGTAAAATTTTTTCCCATGTGTCTGATGCTACTCCAGGGGGTAATAAGTTACTACCTTTTACAAAATTGAAAAAAAAGTTGGACAAAAATGTAACGCTCTAATTCTAAGCTAAACTTGTTGTTCTGGACCAGTTCCTCCATAAGTTTTGCTGCCATTATCATGATTTTTTTTTTATACTTTCAGTTCCATGATCTCGGAAAGTTAACATTCCCCAGCAAAAAAGCATTCCATAACATTGATAGATCGGTATTAGAAAAACGTATGAGAATGTTGAATAGCTATTTGAAAATCCTCTTACAACCCAAATTGTTAGCATCCAGACAGCAGCTGAAAGTACTTTTACTGGAATTCTTTGAGCAAGGAGCCTATGATCGAAGAGTGACCGACAGTAATCTAACTAGAACGGTAAGCAACTTATCTACTTTTTTCCTTTTACGAGGGGAGACCCACAGCACACTGGACAACTTTTGCCCCAGTGTCATGAACATATTGACTTCTCTTTTTAGGGGATTTTCAAGTCACTTCTAATGATGCACTTTGCCTTTCAATGCATGAAATGTACTCATAAATGTTAACGGCTGTCTAGCTGACACATGTCGTATTTCTACTGCATCCTTTCATCCTGTGCGTTTTATGTCACAGTAGTCTGTGACTTCTTTAATATCTATGCATTAGAGCTTTCCTGCTTGTTTCTTATTTCTTTTTATATCTGTCACAAAGTAAAAATAGATACTGCTGTTTCCAAAAAATTGAATTTGTCAATGTTATCAAGGACTAATACATCCCTGCTTTACTTGAGGAAAAAGTTTGAGTAAAGCATAACACTTATAGTTTTCTTCCTTTATTTCTCTGTATATGTCCAACTGGCATGATTTTTGGTAAAACTCACTGCATTTAAACGATTTTATATTTTTGATGCAGCTGCAGAATGGCTCATCAAATTTTTAGGGTAACTTTAGCTTATAATGGTGCACCATCCGCAAGTCATGGATTCCAGCACAGTTCTTTCACGATAACTGGTGCATCATATCCACTTCTTCTGTTTGACTGAAACCCCTTATAGCAGATTATATCACAAATGATTTTTGATTCATGAATTATCTCTATTTTTTCCAGTTGGACACTGTCATGGTTCCGTTCAAAGAATCAATGAAAACAATGGGTCAAGCTGTAAAAACAGTACCTGATAATTTGATGGTCAGGGTGGATGGTTTTGTCGACAATATTTCCCGAGTTTTTAGCACCAATGGGCCGGATGCAAATTGTGAAGAAGCGACTAAAGTAGGAGCTCTCCTTGATTTAGAGGTAAGTGTATCCTAGTTTTCTTCAAGACAGCTGAAACTTTAATATGAAGAACTTAAAAGAACCAATGTATTTTTTATTTTTTGACACAGCTGAATAGTATCTCAACCGTTTTCATCAACATTTAAGGAAGGCAGTTCTCCTTTCATCCCTTGGTATCCCTCCTCATTGCCCCTTGGTTTCTATCTTGAGAAAGAATCTAAGAAGTAGTTTTCAAACTTGAACTCGTTTAATACCAATGTATTTTTCAATATTGTTTGTGTTGGGCCAAATGATGCACATAAAAACAGCGGAATTCGTCCACTCCAAACCATGGCCTTTAATTTTTCAGTCTGAAGACTAGACTTCCCTTTGTTTCAAAAAGTGACAAAGCCATTCAGAATGTAATTGTCAATTTTAAGAAAATGTTGCTGGAGGTTACTCCTCACAAAACTATTAGAAAGCATCATCACATTTATCTGCCCGTTAAAAATGAAATATAATTTACCTTGGCCTTTCAGATAATAATTTTGAGATGGACCGATCTTTCTTTGCAGTGATGTATCGGATCAAAGTCTAGTATCAACAGGAAGATTAATTCTCAAATTTCGAAATTAGCTTTATCTTTTGTTTCTGCTTTCTTTAGAATTTTGTGACATTGTTTATAGTCTACCGATTGAAAAGCCACTCATATTTCCACAACTTTTTCAGAATGAAAAATAAAATTAAGACTGAATTGATGCAATTATTTCTTTTAATTATTTAAAATCTTCAATTTTTAATATGTAAAACTCTCTTGCTGGGGAAATGAGAAATGGAAAACGCGTTTACTTTGCTGCGATTTCTTCAAAAATGAGCAGAATTATTGGTAAAATAAGTAGTTTAGAGCGTAAATACAACATTAAATGTAGACAGAAGGTTGGTAGTGTAGCCAACGTCTGTTACAAATCAGCATAAAGCTGAAAACCAGCTACACTACCAACTTTCTGTCTGAATGACTCTTGCATCTACCGCAATGAGTTTGTAATTTCAAATATCTATGATCATTAACTTTTATGAATTTAAAGATCTTTTGATTTTTTATTCTGTTCTAGTCCGATGAAAATATTCCACTGCGAATACTACTCCTCCTCATGACAGAAATTTTTGAATTAAAATCACGAAATCAATGGTTGCGGCGTCGATTTGTGATTTTGTTGCGTCAGATACTTCGAACAATGCTGGGTGATGTAGTGAATAAGAAAATTGTAGATTTTGTTTCAACTTTATTGGATCCACAACAGATTGCAGAGTACCTGAGGACATTAAAGTAAGTCATTTTCTGTAGCTGATCAGTTGTGCGATGAAGATTTCACAGCTTATTTTATCAACCGAAGCGGTATGTTCTCCTGGTCTAAGTTTCAAGTCAAGTTTCCAGCTTGTCTTAGCAGCTTACTTTAAAAAGTAAAAAAAGAAAGGGGTCTCAGCTTGCAATAAGTTCGCGGACCTAAACGATGAAAAAGGTGCTCTTACTTAACTCCCTCTTCTCCTCCCTCCTATCTCTCCGCTATCTATCCCCTCTATCCCTCTCCCCTGCCCGCAAATGGTGAGAAAAATGAGGAAAACTGTCGCTTTTTTTGTGACTAATTGGCAATTGCCATGGTTACCCACTGAAAAGGATTTTAATTGGTCATTTTGAGTCCAAGATGCTCCTTTGTTAATTCATTTCGCAATCCTCAGGGGTAACCCTATCAAAATTATTTCAAAGATGATGGATGGGCTTGCCTACCTTTCCTCCTAAAAGTTCCCTGTAAATGAATTATTGAGCAAAATGATTTTTTTCATATGTGGAGTCGTACCGCAAGAGAATGAGAAAGACTAATTTTAATGTTGCATTGACATATTAAAAGAAAATTAAGCATCATTTGGAAAAAAAAGATTGACCGAATCAAAATTATCATCTTCAACCACATCACCTTTGGGAATCCATCTGAGAAGACTGATTAAAAAAGAACAGTGGTAAAGACTCTCAAGAGCATCTAGCTCTGGTGAGGTCAATATCCACCAGTCAATCACGAGTCACAAGAGCATCTTATATAGCCAGCGGTGCAAGAGATTATCGGGCATTGTGTGTATGAAAGGCTTAACTACGAAATAAACCACCTTTTCAGCCAACATCTAGCCTACTGTCACTGACCTGTAAATCCTTACCCACTGTGATATCACTTGAACTCTTTTTCACCTACAAAATCATTGAAGCATTTTCCGTCTTCTCTGGAGGGCAAATGTTTATTTAATGCCTTTCATGCTTCGTTTCTTGTAGTGAAAGAACAAATTATGTCCTTTTTACAAATAGTGCGCCAGCTATGCCATTTCTATAAATGCAAGTCAACAAAATTACAAGAAAATATACTCTTTTAGCTCAGTAAGTGTCAATATCAAGCCACTATTACCATTTTTACAAAATTTCATGCAAAATGTACAATTTATAATTAGTCCTATAAAATTTCATAAATCTTCATTCAAACTGCTATCAAAAAACACTTTGAGACAACTCGAGGGGCGATAATTAAAACCATAAAGTTAATGAAACCAAGCAATCAAAGAAATGAATTCATAACTTATAATATACCCCAAAACCATTGGTTCAATAGCCATTGAACCCACCATTGTTGATTTCTTCTTTTTCTTTCCCCCTTCTTTGACAAACAGAATCGATCTTCAGATTTTTCATAAAATACTTAAGAAACTCATTGCACCCATTTATAAAATTTTTCATGTTTTTGGAGAAATCGGGCATTTATATTTCCTGGGAAACCAGTTAAACTTACCAAAAGAGAAAAATGAAAAGTATCTTAAAGCTTTTGCCTTACAAGATATTTTCAAATCAGGTAGCTCAACCTGAGTTTTGATATTTACCCGATCGAGAACATGTATCTGTGTGTGCATTTGTAAATTTGTATGAGAAATGGGCTGTTAACACCATCTTAATATTCATATTGTTTAGAGAATCGTGGTGGCCAAATGACAAGAAACGACGACCTTCTCCTCCTAGAGATGATGCAGCCAAAATGAGGACTCGAGTTTCAGCCAAAGCTGCTCTCCTCGCTAGTTTATCAGGTAAGACAAGTTTTTTTTGTTTGTTTATCTCTTTTTTTTCTCTTTAGTGAAACCATGAAGTATTCAAACTTTTTTTCCTGTCCAACTTGAAATCTCTTAACTAAATAAGTGTTCATAAATTACGTATCACTCTTTTTCGGAATTTTGGACCCCCTCTCTCCTTGTAACGCTTTTGTGATGCAGGTCAATTCCTTAACATGTGAAAAGAAAGTGGCTCCTCGACTTCCAAGCCCCTAGAGTGTTATGTAGTTTTTAAATGGCCCTTGATGTACTTCTTTCAGAAATTTCTAGAGTTACATTCTGAACACAATCATCAAAGGAATGAATAAAGGAAAAGAAAGTGTATTGGAAATGTATTATAACTTTTTGAAAATCCGAGAAATTTTCATGTTGTTTGTAAGTAGCTTTGAGCGGTTTTGATTGTGTAACATAGTAGTTTTCTCCATTAACTACTGGTTGCTTCCCTGAAGACCAATTTGAAGTGTTGCTCCTATCGTATTCCTCAATTGCAAGAAAAGAAGTGATTTGAGTCCAAAACACTCTATCTCAAAACTTAATGATGTGCGAGTTATTTTTAAGGTAATAAGTAGTTATTTTAAAGAGAATGGATTCAATTTTAAGTAATTGTCACCTCTTACAATTCCTGAGTCATCAGAAACTTTTATTTTGATGGCATTTAATAATCAAACTCGAAGCCAATACTTTATGTGCTGCTTCAAAAAAAAAAAAATCCAGAGCTTTGCTGAACTAATTCTTTTTGATCAAAAATGAAGCGTGATGAGCCTTGTTTACCTTTTCTTGCTCTTTAATTTTGGTGGAAATGAAAAGCTGTTCTCTTAAAATAAAGACAGCAATTCTCAGGCTGAGAACCAATTTCTGAAGAATCAACCAGAATCGGATAAGGGGAATTGAGCTGAATAGGCCAGGGAGAGTTGATCTGAATCAGTTAGGGAGAATTGGTGCAATTCAAGGATTAGGCACAAAGAATCGATCTGTTGAAAGATCAATTTGAAGATTCTGATCGTTCCCAATGATCTAAAATTTCAAAATTGATTAAGTATGCCTAAATTGTCACATGGCGATCTGTTCTTTGACATTGGGGAAAAATTGAATGAGATAGGATCTCTTATGAGAAAAGAGGGCACCAATAATATAATCAATGTGTTTGCTGTGAATTATCATTTCTTTCTGACAAATCATGAGCCACATCAATTGATCAACATGCAAATATTGAAGAAGTTTGGAATTGATTTGTTTGACTCAAGAAAAAGAGGTAAAGAATCAAGTCAAAATCTATTTGAGCCGATCAACCTTTTGAACTTTAAGAATTGATCTTTCATATTATTATTTCAACCTTCACAATTTCAGCATAGGTCATGGATATCTATTTAACCTTTGCTTCAATTAAGAGATTTCAATTGCAATACTCAATACTCGTTAATTCAAAAACAGCTTTAACCTAAGACTCCGGGTCTTTTATTGGTTCTAATGGTATGAGCTCCAATTGGCAATGGATAATCATCTGTTTCAGATGAGTTTAAACATCTCCTTGGGAGCGAGACATCTCGACAAGGAATCATGTTAGTTTTCTCATCGTTTCAAGAACCTGTCCTTAATCGGAGACTGGTTTATGTCTTATTGGAAGGGCTGCTTATTACACTACTTCCTAGTATGTCTGGCATCTTCACTCAGATCCATGCCAGCTCTCCACGCGTCATTAAAACGCATAAAATGAACAAAGTATCAAGATGACACGCGGAAGACTTATGAACACCTCTTTCTTCTCGGTTATAAACCCTTTGCATTTAAAGCTTTTATCTTTTGTCTGTGACCTGTTATGCATCTAATAAAATATCTATATTTTTATATAATTTTTATCCAAAGAAGTCAGTGTAAGCTTTTACTCGGTGTACATTTACCATGTATTTGAGTATTCCATGTAAGTGCACAAATTTTATCTTCTGAAGAATCTTTTTATTATGCGTTTTATGTACCCATTGTTCACAGCTGGTATGGAACTTTTTTTCATCCTTCAATCTCTTTTTCATTCACTCTGCATCATTGATATTGTTTTTGCATACACTGCTCAGTGACATTCAAATACTGCAGTGTCAATGTAATGATGAGAACATCCTATTTTTTTCCCCAGTGAATTGTTTTGTAAAATTTTTGAAACTCTATTGATTTATTTCACGACTGTCTTAGAAAAAGTACCAAAATAGTCAAGAATACCATTGTACTCATTTTTCTGAAACAACATCAGTCTTTAATCAGGTAGATTTTTGACGTGTACTAAGAATTTGGCAAAAAATTACCTTTTCCTTCCGGCATTTCAGTAAATATAGCTAAATTTCTTTTGCCTTTAAGATAAGTATCGGGTAATGGAAGTAACTTAATATACCATTTAGAATCCCCCCCCCCCAATCATACGAGATAGTTTTCAAGGCAGTTTTTCAAAGGAGAACAATGTTTTGTATCATTAAACGAAAAGAAAAGTTCTGCGGCAAGATGAATAGGCGATTAACTCATGAGATTCGTTGTTAGGATCTGATGAAAGTTTCTCATAGATGGTGAAAGTAGGAAAAGTTGTTTCTGGATTGTGGTGTTTCAACATTTTTCTTGTACTTAATTTTTTTGAAATAGCTACCCACCCTTTAATTAGACCGGTGGCAATGTTGCAATGGATGTTTTTTTTTTTAATACTGGTTCCTCAACATTTTCACTCAGGAGATGCACAGGAATATTTTCAGGAAGTGTGGGTATAATATCTCCTTAAATTCTTGTCAGGCGACATTTGCAAGGGATTTTGATACAGTTTTGTCTGGGAATATTAATGTCATATCACCTGGCAATTGATACTTTGTTGCCTAAAAACATTGAAATTGTTTTTTCCAAACAATAGTGACTCAAAAAAAAAAGGTCATGCGTTCGAATGAAACTTAGTAAAAGTTATCATCTAGGTCAAGAAAAAGCACCAGGACTGTTTTTTGCTAATATCGACGTGAAACATAGATACAATATCCCCTGGCACCACTTTTTTTCATGCCTCATAAGTAATTCAATGTTCAGTCCAGTCTAGTGGCCAATCTGTGCACCTTTATGCACATTTTATTGTAATTGAATCGCCTTTTATTGCAATTTCCAGCCTGCTAACATTGCAAAAAATCGGTGTTGCAAAACTTGTGATGATCTACTGATGGCATCTCAACTTATTGCAATCTCTGCCACTTTGGTTGATGTATATTTATATACCACCTGTAGTAGGTCACGTCAGGTGAATTTTCGTGATCTAATATGTTAAAATTTTTTAATCGGTAAATTCTGAACAATGCCATTGTTTTGTGAATAATTCCTTTTATCAGAGGCTAGTATAATTGAAATGAAATTCACGAGGAATTGAAATGGAGGATATAATTTGATCTAAGCAGAGTAGGCGGGAAATGAAATGGTATTTCATTTGGAACTAAATTATATTAAATCCATGCAGAAATGAGGAAGTTATGTTTTTCCATGCCTATAGTCATCCTTTATTTCTCTGCGTTACCCTGAGCCTATGTTTAAAAAATAAAATGTTGATCAATCATAGGGAATCGACAGAGTTGCTATTGGAATGAAAAAATTAAACCTTAAAGAAGATTTCACACCACCATAGCTTACTATATTCTTCGTCAGATTGATCAGATCTCGAATTAAACAACAAGGATGAATCCAGACATTATTATAATTCAGTTCAACCGCTTTAATCGATGACAAGTCTTGAGTTGTATAGTTAAAATTCTGCAGTACTCACTAATAGATAAGTTTCATCTATCTGTGATCTGATTTTCAAATTGATAAATTAAAAGAAGTTTGTTTAGACTGAAATGCCGGCAAGATTTACAGAGGCAAAAAAAGATCAAGAGTAGTTAAAACATTTCTTGAGCTTGCAATATTAGTTTGTAGAGTTGGAGAAAAAGTGAGATTCAAGCACTCTTTAAATCAATCATTGCCGTTTGTTGAATAATTTTGTTGTTAGTGCCATGGTTTGTTTTAAGATGTGCTACAATGGAATCATGACTATTGTAATAAGTTAGGAGTTTTTAAGTGCAATCAATAGCACAATTTTGTGTTCAAAACGATGCAGATCTATACAGTTACGTAGTTTTTAGTTTTGCATCAGTTAAAAAGTAACCTGCAAATGCAATATTTCAGTATTCTTTCATGGTATATGTGAGTCTTGTAATTGATCATTTTTTAAACAAATTTTGTTAAGAAAATAAAAGAATGAATTTTCAAGTTCAGTAATCTTCATTTCAAACAAAAAAAAATGATATTTCTATTGTGTATCTGAGGCAGGCATTTGTGTATTTATCTCTGAAAAGGGCGCATTTCGAGTTTTTGAGTTTCGAGAAAAGTGCCTCGCATTTAAATGCTGTTTGAGCCGAGAGACTTTAACGAATATGTTTACGCACATTAAACTTTCCCCTAAATAACACGTTTTGAAGATTTTAATTTAAAGTAATACCAGGTGCTACATAGGTTAAAAAAAAATCGACATCCGCCGTTTTTGCAGATAACTCATCTTTTTGGACCAAAATCTACTACTATCTACTAATGATAGTACAACTAATTAATCTAGCAATAACATTATTCATACCAAGTATCTTAATAAATAATAAGATGATGTAAATGAATGAAACATTCGGTATTTCCTGAAAAAACAAGAAAGAAAGGACCTATTTCAGTCTTTTAAAATCAAATCACAATGATTTCTGGTCGACAACTCACTAAAAAAGCAAGATCAGAGTCGTAAAACCTTGTACAAACATGCTTGAAGGTTCGAAGATTGCAAAAATCTGTCGCCTCGAAAACGACGGATGTCGACATTTACCCCCTTTTCAAGCCACGTCTCGTTCTGTCCACTGTCGTCTTTCAGTGATACACGATACAGCACCTTTAATTAGTTGAGTGAAGAGAGAAACCAAATACGCAATTTGGCCTGGAACGGCGCGACCTAGAGAGAAATGATGACGAAGACTTGAGATGAAAAGGAGAAGCCCTCGGTGCGGCGGTCGGCATGTAACACATATCAGCGCCCACAAGATTGCACGAATATTTCACGCATTGCATCAAATACAGTGCGCTCACTCCGGTCAGCGTAAAACGGATAGCGCCTACAAGAATGCATGAATACTTTACGCATTGCGCCAAACACAGTGCGGTCAGCAGCGGTCGGCGTGGAACTCATAGCGCCTACAAGACTGTCGGAATACTTCACGCATTGCGCCAAACACGGCGCGGCCGGCGCGGCGCGGCACGGTGGCGGAAGTTAAAATCATTAAACCACATTTATGTTTGTTCTTTCAAAATTTTTTCGTTCAGTTCTTATGAATGGAGGGCCTTGTCCACACCGAGATAGGTTTACGAAACTTAACTTTTGCGCAAAGTTCCGTGAACTTTTGCTAGTAGTGTTGACAGGGCTTTCCCAAAAAAAGTGTCCAACACGAGTAAACGCGTCTTATGCACTCCTCCTTCGCTGGCACGTCCACTTGATGATTTTTATTGATGTTTCAAAACGAATGAGAAGGAGGCGGCAAAATACAGGCGGCCCATGGGCGGCAAGTAGGTAAATCCGGCCCTGTTTCTGAGAGGAAATTTGGCAACTCTCGAATGTCTCGAATGTTCATACGGCGTTCTTCCTTAGCACAGCAGTCTTCCTCTTTTATTCGTCTTCTTCTTTCATTTTCTCCCTCCTTTTTCTTTCTTCTTTCTTCTTTTTTCCTCATCTTCCTCTTTTCTTCCCACTCTTTTTGCATCCTCTTTTTCTTCTTTTTCTCATTTTCCTCTTCTTTAGCTCTTTTCTTGGTTTTCTCTTTTCCCCTTTCCTCTCTCTTTCCTTTTTTTCTTCCTCTTTTCATCTGCCTCTATTCGTCCACTTTTCCCTCTCTTCTTCCACCTTTCTTCTTATTGTTTTCCTCTTCTTTCTTTTTTGATCGCCCTCCTCTCTTTTTCCGCTTTCTTTTTTGCTCCTCTTCTTGCTCTATTATTTTCTTTTGTCATCATTTTGCCCTCCTCTTTCTCTCCTTCCTCCTCTTTTCTCCGTCTCGGAACACACTAAAAAAATTGCGTTTTACCAGATCGGAAGAGGCTATTTTAACGCCGTTTCAGTTCGCCTTCAATTTTTAGTGTAGGCAAGATGAGCTCCCACGTGGTCGAATAGTGGTATCTTCCCCGTATAACAGTCAGACCGTCGGACGGTCTCTGTCAACGAATTTATTGTAGTGCAAGAACTCATTGAGCGCTCCACAAAAAAATCGAGATGAAAATATACCTGCCACCCTGAAAGTCCGTCATAGTCTTTTATTTTCGTACGGTTTTTTGGAAGAATAAGCGAAGAAAAACTAGAACAAATGCTTGGGAACTCTAAAAACACTATTTTGGATCGGCTGCTCGCTACGACTTAAATTTTGCGCGATTTTTGTGGCTAAAAATTACAATTTGGCTGGTAAATCTCTCTTTTCTATCCCAGCCGACCCGTGACGTGCTCGTTTTTTCAGTTTTAAACGTCTTCACCAGCGGTCAAAGTCGAAACGCGAACGCGCGCCAGGACTGCCAAACCCGCCTCCCTAATTCCCTCTGAAAAATGAGATCATATAAAAAGAGAGTAGTGGGGCTCTTCGCCATAGCTCCCGTGAGGCGCAGAATCTCGGATTTTGGACTCTGTCCCAAGGGCAGCCAAAATAACTCCCAAAGCTGGAGCGCTGTACCTCAACAAAATTTCTCTCGTGCAGTCGCGCGTTCTACAAGTTTTCAGCTTTGTCGCGCGGGAACGGAATGGGCACGTTCACTCGGGCAAAATCAATACCCAACGCCCTTTGCCACACGGTCGAATGAAACCCCTACCTACAAATGAAACCGCGGTTTAGCCTCATAGCGTAGCTACACCCGCACCCTTACGTAGCATTCCCTCGGAGCTACTACGCGTGAAGCCGTGAACAGCTCTAGGTTCGTTTAACCCGCGCGAGAGACTTAAAACTGACGCCTCTCGTCGCCATGGCTTTTTCGCGAGGATGAAAACCGCCTCAAAATGGAGGAGGAAAATTTTCGATTGCAACCTGATTGGATCAAGGAAGTCCAAGCCAAACATGTGCTCCATTGGAACTACAGGGGGTTTGTGGAAGTTCCGCGGGAACTGCAGCACGCTGGCGATCAGCTGGAGGAGATCTACATGAAGTGGAACTACATCAGTCAGCTGGTGAGTCCTGCTCCACTTTCTCTCTATTTTCTCTCCCGCCTTCTCTCATTTTCTCCCTCCAAGTCTCCTCACTCTAGAGCTCAACCTCCTTATTTTGATGCCACATGTTGCTTCTCCAAAGTTTAATCAACTTCTCTAAGTTGGTTTCTCAAATTTTTGGAGTCTGGACTGCAGACCCTCCCAATGAATTTTTACCCCTATTCAATTGGTTCACATACAGTAAAGAATACTTCATAGGAAAGTTGGCCACAATACTATCGAAAATTTACTCTCATACTTATTTTAAAATAAAATAAATGAATAATTACATATTAAATAAAAATGAGAAAAAACCAAAAAATCCCGTTTCACACTTCAAGGGACAGAGCCAAACTCTTCCCCTAATAAAGTAAAGAGAGTGAGGGTGTTTTTATTTTCCTGAATATTACTGTTCCCTTGCTTATCAGCAGGCTTGGAAGGAGGGACGTTTTTGAAGTTTTATTAGCCATTTGAATTTTATCCTCTTTTTCAAAAGCACTTTGTTCAGAAAATTGATTAAGATCAAAATGTTTGAACTTTACCTACTTTTCAATTTCAACCGTTTANAAAAAAAAAAAAAAACGTGCAACTCACTTAAGTTCAACTGAACAATAGGTACATAGCACAGTTCAAATAACTTGAAACTTTTTATGTCTCAAATATTCAATTATGGTCCTCACCATAGACCTTGCAAAAAAGCCAATATCTCTTGCAGAAATAGATGCAGATTGCTTACTTTTGTTTTGCAATGTTTGTCCTCATTAGGTTCAACTGCAAAACCAGAAACATTAGACATTTTTCTATTGTCAAGTATGCACAGTTCCTTTAACCCATCAGAATGGAACCAAAAATATTTTAAAAATACTTTTCACGAGAGAAACTTCTCAACTTTTTAACATGACAATTAGTAGGTAGGTACTAGGAGGAGAATATACTGAATGTGAAACAAGCAAGCTTTTTTTGCAAGGTCAATGGTGTGGAAAAATTAAACATTTAAGTTGCAAAAATTCAATTGTTATTTGAATCGACTCTCATACCTAATTTAAGAAAAGTTTAGCTGTGTAGAATAAAAACGTTTTTCGAGAGTTCACCAATTAGCTTACTTACCTCTCGAATTTATAGCTTGAAACTGAATACCATATTTTCAAGTTCTAATTTTCAGCCTAGCTGGTTCACTGCCATTGATCACCTGACAAATTTGTACTTGTTCGGCAATGAAATATCTTATTTACCGGAAGAACTGGGTTCGATGACATCATTGTCTGTCCTCGATTTTGGTCACAATCAGCTTACCAATTTGCCTGCATCAATAGTCAAACTAACACATCTACGCTGTCTTTCTGTCGAATTCAACTCTCTTACCCAGCTTCCCAGTGGTAAGTCAGAGTAAAACCTAATTATCAATCATAAAAATAATAGCACACAGTCTGACATTGACTCAGAGAGATGGCTGTATTGTCTTTCAATGCAACCACGTGTCAACAAAAGGGGGGTCCAGAACAATCTTTCTGAAAGAGGAGGCTTGGAAAAAGTGAAAAAAAAAAATGAAAGAAACAAGATAGCAAAAATAAAGAAAGGGAAAAGGAAGAGAAGGAAAGAGGGAAAAGTAGGCAATGGTGAAATAAGAGAAGGGAAAAGTAAAGGGTAAAAAATTTAAGTGAAGAAAGGAAATGTATTTATTGTTAAACAAATATTCAACATAGGTACTCAAGATTTGTAAAAGTCTCAATAGGTACTTTATTTTTCAATTATCATTGAAAAAATTGTCCCATCCAGATACAATTTTGACTTACAAAGTTAAAAGTATAAAATCATGGCACCAGAGCAAATACATATTAAAAATATTTCATCAGCGAAGTTGAACTTATAGGTACCTCCTTGTATTTTAATGTTTTCAAATTTATGCACACAGCTTTGTCTGAGGAGATAATACCTGAGAATCACACTCATTAGAAGGCTCATTAGAGCCAGAAAGTTGAATGTAATCATGTTAATGCACGTACACACCTCCTGCTAAGCCAGAGCCTCCTGTTAAAGCTGCATTCTAGAGCAAAGATACATTTTTGTCCACCCATTGCTTAGAGCAAAATAAGTGACTGACTTTCTGATTTCTTCTCCATTCTGAAGATGTGCAAAAAAATTTTCCATTTTAGAACGGTGTTTCGGTGTTTTAAGTTTTTGCCTATAATTTATTTTAACCCAATAAGTAAGAATCTTTTTCTTTTTTAAACCAAAAATCGTGGCTCGCTTTTCATTGTTTTAGGTCCCAAATTTTATTTTTCTCATCACTATGTTTCAGATATTGGAAAACTGAAGAAATTAGAACACTTAAAAGTCAACGGAAACAAACTAAAATACCTGCCAAATTCTATTAGTCTTTGTGAAAATCTCTCTGAATTAATCGCTGATTTGAATCACTTGAAGTTCTTACCACAGAATATTGTAAGTATCTCTTAAACTTATCTGCCAAAGCTATGTGCAAGTTCCGAGTTTGAGGCTGAGATTTTAAGACTCCTTTTAAAATCTCTTTGACCTATGAGATCACCTCAATCTAGGTACTTTTGCTTATACTCAAATTTTTTGTACTCTCTTGAGGTAAGGGGCAGAAAATTTGAAACTTTTGGCCGCTCAGATATTAAAATTCATTGTTTCAAACAGAGCTTTTGGTTTTTGCCCATCATTCGTAAGCCAGGAGTAAGTCATACCAGAATTCACCCTGATTATTATTTCTTAAAGTTAATGGTGAAACTCAGAAGCTTTGGATCTCAAAAGCAGTGTTTTAATATCTCCATAACCCTTTTATTTTTTTAAAAGAGAACAAATTAACATCATTCCTTGAAGTCTCTCTAGAAGTTTTTTCGTATAGAGAAGAAAGATCACAGACATTTTTAAGAATTTATTGACGTTTGATAGTTTTCCATTTAAAAAATGAAGTATGACAGGAAGTCTGCAACATTGCAAACCAATATATGTGGTTCAGAAGTTTCTTTTTTGAAATATTCCTTCAAATTTAAATTATCTTAAATCCCAGTAACTAGTAATTCTGACTTGAATGCAAAAATGTTCAATTAAAATTGATCTAATTTCAATAAGATTTACTAAACAACCTACTTTAACCATCCAATGATTACAATAACATGAAAATTTCAAACTGATTTCTTTTAGGCTGGACCCTTAGAGTTTCAAGTATGAGTTAAATAGAAAAATAAACTGTTGATTCTGACCATTTGCAAATATCTTAATTTTGCTGTAGCCGAATTTTTAAAGTATTTCCAATATTTTACTCCTCCTTCTTTTAATTTTTCAGGTATATTTGCCGAAACTAAATTTTCTCTCAGTGAAAAGTAATCAACTCCGGTTCATGCCAGCAGTTGCATTTTTCAAAAGCCCCATTGAAGTGCTAGTGGAGGATAATGAATATCTGAACTATCTGTCGTTCGATATGAGTTCATTCATCGCAAATTCTCGCATACAGATGGGGCGTGATGAAGTTTTTGATTTTTGTAACAGGAAAGAGAAGTAAGTAGACAACAATTTTTTGTCTCCGTAGATTAATTGCCAAGTTCGCAGATCCCAAAGTTTTAATAATCAAAAGGAGAATTTGATGCACACTCTGATTCAGAAAACTCAGAATATCAATGACTAACCTGAGCAACTCCTTATTTTGAGTAGTGCGTTTCAATACGTCTACAGCTCCCTCCGTTTTCTTTTTTATTTTTCTGTTGGAGGAGAACAAGTCTGCTTTACTGCTTGAAATTTCCATTGTATATTTGACTGAGAGTATTCATGGTCAAACACTTTGGCCACATCTTAATTTGCACCAAATTTCATCTGCAACTCTCTTTAGTCTCACTAACATTTGACATTGTTACCAAGCTGTAGCTGGAAAGCCAAATAAACAGGATTTTTAAGATATTTTGAGTGGATATGATCCGAGAGAGGGGAAATAACTTTTAGATTTTCTCTGAAAAGTGTGAGGTGTGAATTTGAAACGGAATTGTTCTCCAGAATTTTCTGAACCGAAAAATGACATGGTTGCCTATTGTCAGACTAAAATAAACGTTTTTGAGTTATTTTTGACTTTCATTTGCTACCAAGGGACAGAATATGACATCAGAAAAATTATAGGAAACTGTAAGTTATTTTCTCACTGTTTTGCAGCTTTTGCACGCCCTCAATTTGCAATACAAAATAAAAGTTGGAAAAAACTTAACCCTAGTAAACGTCTTAAAAAGTCCAACAGCAATTTATAAATGAGAAAGGAGCTTTTATTATTTAATCAGTAGATTTCAACCTTCCATTTGCTGAAAAACCAAAATCAATGGAGATGAAATCAATCATTGGAAACAAAGTTTTATATTTGGGAAATAACTATCATAAACTTCTGTGAAAATCTCCTTTCATCTTTGACAAACAGTGCTCGGAAACTTTTGTCCAGAAAAATTGAGAACACTGAGAAAAAATTACCATTGCAAATCATTCTAAAAAACATTTTTAATCATGAAGTATGCTGAAATTTATTTGCTGCCGAATATGATTCAAGTAGACTTTGGTTTTTTGGCAAACAAGAAGTTGGAAGCGATGAACATAGATGGTCTTGCTTTCTCACTCATGAACTTAGGGTTTTGGACTTTTTGAACATATTTAACAAGTTCAACATGAAATTTTGACAGAGATAATTTGTACTTGGATTCTCAATATCTACCTCTGTTGAGATGAAATCAAGGGGCTCATATTAACATGAAGCAAAGGGAAATTCCAACATCGAGCCTATCAGATTAAATCTAAACTTTTTATTTTTTTATTTTAGGAAATTAAAATTGAGCACTCTGGTACACAACTTCATTAATGCAACTTTACCTATGCAGCTTTATGAATTCTTACAACGAGTTGATATTCAACATATCTGGTTTTTATGTACATAAAGGATGATCCCTGCACCACTCTTATGACCTCCAAGGTTCTCTTCCCCCTTTGAGGCGATCTCCTTAAAATTTTAGGGGGTTCCATGAGTCATTGCCATTGACCTAGGAGAATAAAAAATGTCAAGTCTCTATCCTTATGAGTTCAAAAGTTATATGGGTGATATCAGGGGCTGGTGGTGCGGTGCCTCTGGATCGCCCTGTATTATTCAAGTGTTCGGAAGTCTAATTGGCATGGTAAAGGACTTATGAATCACTTTATTTTCAGGTCGTCATCTCCAAGTGATCAAAATTTACACCTCATCAGTAACTCCATCCACCTAAAAAATTCAAATGAAGAGGTAGTCCTACCGCCAACCTTAAACAAACTTCATGGGCATGCAAATAAAGGCTGCATCATATCCCTCCAAGAATACTGTCTACGAATAGTGTACTCAATGATTTATCGGTTGAATAGACTAAACAGCAGTTGTCTTCAAAATCAAATATCCAACATACTTCCGGTGAACATTACCAACTTATTTTTAGACGGACCTACAGCTTTGTGTCACAGGTGCAAAAAACCAATATTCAGAGAAGCCATTATGATCCTATTTTCACGTGCCATACCATTGATGAATTTAAATTTGATAAAAAAAATGAAATTGACTGTGTTTTTTTGTGAAAGGTCTTGTTATTATGAATCTGATTTTTTGGAAAAAGATAGCATTCTGCAGAGGGAAATTGAATGGGTATCATAGTGTTTCCTTTCTAACTCCCACAACAAATTGTTTGTCACTAAATGTTCAAGTAACTATAAAAACCTTTGTTGAGTATTCAATCATTTTTAAAAAAGAAAACGCCATCATGTGACAGTGCAACTCATTAATCCAACTATTTGTTCTATGTTCTCCCTGCACGATCATTTAACTTTGTGCAAAGCCGCATAATTAGATCTGTCCATACTAAAAAGAATTATGTGCCAAAAAATTAAATAAAAGGAATAAATAAGCACTCAGACTATACATATAGTTCCTCTTGTGTGATTTATAATTCATTTTCATATAGTTATTTTTATCCTAGGTATATCCAACTAATAGTAAAGGCAATTGGAAACAATACAAGATGCTGTTTCTGTGTCAAATCATCTTAAGGATGGCTAAAGTAACACGTATCTCTGATTTCGACATTGCAAGTTTCAGCTCATTATATTTATTAACATATATATTTTTTAAAAAAACAAACCAACATTATTTTTCCTACATTTTCCATTAATTGTTGTCACTCACTCAGTAAAGTTCTCGGACAGTCTCAAAGAGGTATTGAGTTACTTCTTTTGTGACAAAATGAAGTATAATCAAAGATTTTTCAACTTTGCAATAGAGCTACACAGTTTTCAACTTTAGTCAATAATATTTTTCCTCCCTGTCTTCTCAAAAAATCATGAGTTTTTATTTTGGCATGGATTTTTCATTTGTCATGGTGACATCTTCCAAAAATAAGTAGAAAACTTGAGGTTTTTTGTAGAATATCAAATCTATCAAATCTTTGTTAACTGTGTGATCCTTCCAGTCAGTTGTTTTCTTTTGTTTGTCTTAATTTTTTTCCAAATGCATACAAATGTTCTGTGCAATGAGAATTTAGTTCATATTTGAATGCCTAGTGGCCAGTTGTAGATGTGAAAAAGACTTTTAGGACTCTAAAAATTCTCACTATGTTGAAAACATTATCCAGAATTTATTACAATGCCACGGCTAGACTCGCTGGGGCTGTATAATTTAACTGTCTTCAATTTTATGGTGCTTCTTAATTTTTAGTATGCTGGGAGGATGGGTGTTAAAATCAAAATAATGTGTGAAGAAAATTGTAAGAGTAAACTTCTGGAATTAATTATTTAAATTTTTAAACCTGAAAGTTACATAGTTACTTAGGTTGTTATTCTCATGATTTTTTCTTTAAAATTTTATTGATGTTATTATGTTCTAAATCAATTTATCTTATCTGCCTATCTACACTTTGGCTGTCTGCTTATCATTGTTAGGACCTAGATGTTACTTCTTTTTGTTTTTCTTAAAGTATTTATGAATAAATTTATTTTTGAAAATGTTATTTAAATTTTACTGAACTCTCTCTTCCTAAAATGCTTAAGTTTAAGAAACCTTAAAATGTTTCAATGCAACATTATTTATCAGAAGCAAGTACAAGAAAATTAACGTATTATACAATTATCAACCTCTTTCATTAACAATTTTGTATATGAAGTGCAGATAAAGTTCTAGGACAGCTGAATATTTTTTGAGCCCTCGTAGCTAAATGATGGTAAGGGTCCAATATCTAGCTCACTGAGCTTGGAGTCCATGCCCTTTCCCTTAATGTTGACGGGTGCATTAGCTCCCCCCATTATGGAGTCCATGCACCAAATTACGTAGAGATACAACAAAGATGGTACATGGAGTCCACACCTTGTGAAGCCGATGCACATATGCACCGATCTCACATTGTATCCTTTCTATAGCGTAGGGTCATCTAGAACGCTCCTCATTTTAACACTACTAGAATTTAAATCATCAAACCCCCCAAAATCTGCATTTTGCATTTAATTCTAAAAGGGAGAGAAAAATTGAAAAAATAGTGTTTTTGCCCTCAGAAAATGTGCTAAAAAATCAGACTGAGTTCACTCAACTGTCTGGGTAGTTGAGCAAACAGGACTGCAGTTTTTTTAAAACGTGCTTCGGGCTGATTTTGTGTGTTCTGATAGATATGAACGCTTGACACAAAAAATATTATCACTAGTTTGATGAGACACATTATTGTGTTACTCTTTATGGTAAACTCAGTCCTTCCTAGGTATTTTTTAATTAACCTTCTCAAGTTCTCACATGCACCTCCTCAAGGCTGCAAGATTTTTCAAAATACTTATATTTTTCAATGTATTATGCAGGCTGGTGGAGCTTTTAACTTGGGCTGTCTTTGTTCAAAAAATTCCTGGCTTTGAGCATATCAAGATTGGAACGATCCTCTGCATTACATCATTGCTAAAATTTTGCAACTTTATTTTTTCTTAGAAGAAACCTAAGAAGGTTTGGTGGCTTTTATTTTACCACAAAAATAAAAATTAAATTTCGAAGACTAAGATTTCACCATTTGCTTTAGGTTTTTCCTCCACTCCCAGTTTTCTATTCCTATTTCTGTTCTTCACTTTCAACTTCCGGTTTTCACTTTCCACTTCAGACTTTCACCAAACGCTTCAGGTTTTCATTTCTTTTTCCTGTTTTCATTGTACCTAACCATTTCTAGTTTTCAAATTCCCTTCCTGCATGGTTTTCCCTTCCTGTATTTGGTTTACACTTCCCAATTCTAGTTTTCGTTATACAACTTCCAGTTGTTCCTATCCTTCTCCGCTTTTCACTTCTTATTTCCGGTATTCATTTTTCCCGGTTTTTACCTAATTACTTAGTCGAGTTACGAGAGAAACCAAACACACAATTTGGCCTGGAACGGCGCGACTTAGGGAGAAATGATGACGAGGACTTGAGATGAAAAGGAGAAGCCCTCGGCGCGGCAATCGGCGTGTAACACATATTAGCGCCTACAAGACTGCACGCATACTTCACGCATTGCATCAAACACAGTGCAGTTATTGTGGTCAGCGTGAAACGGATAGCGCCTACAAGAATGCATGAATACTTCACGCATTGCATCGAACACAGTGCGGTTATTGTGGTCAGCGTGAAACGGATAGCGCTTACAAGACTGCGTGAATACTTCACGCACTGCGCCAAACACGGTGCGGTCGGCGCGGCGCGGCGGCGGAAGTTAAAATCATTGAACCAAATTTTGTGTTTGTTCTTTCATAATTTTTTTGTTCATTTCTTATGAATGGAAGATATCGCAATTTTTCAGTTGTGCTACCCCGTTTCCCGGGAAGAAGCGATTTTGTTTAAACCTTCTATCACTGCTCTGTAGGTTCTCAAAAACTTGTGGATCAGTAGAGAGAGAGCGATGAACATAGCTTGCAGCAGGGGCCCATACGACCCCATACGTTAGTATAGGGACGTTAGTATATATTCGGCCAACACGTTAGTATATATTCATCCATGCCCAGCCCCTCTCAAGAGGCGTGTGGTCCCCCCCCCCTCTCCCCGAAACATACACTGATTTATCAACACTTTGTTTTTGTAAATCTTACTTCAAAAATTGTGTTTAAAAATCACGTTTTTTAAAGGGTTTTCTAACAGTTCACTTACTGAAATTTTGCCTCCCACAAATTTTACGGAAAAAAATCCCAAAATGGATTTCCTTCTTTGTATTCTTCTTGGAGGTTTCTCAACACACACCCCCC